CTGGTGGTGAAGGGGTTCACGCAGGTGGCAGGGGTGGACTATGAGGAGACGTACGCCCCCGTGGGAAGCTATGTGACGGCGCGCGTACTTCTGGCGATCGCAGCTGCACTTGACTTGGAGCTGATGCAGCTAGATGTGAAGAATGCGTTCCTCCATGGCGTGCTGGACCGAGACCTTTACATGGAGCAGCCGAGCTACTACGAGGATGGGACTCCTCGTGTCTGTAAGTTGTTGAAGAGTCTGTATGGCCTCAAGCAGAGCCTGATGCTGTGGTATGAGGCCTTGGATGGGGTGCTGCTTGGGGCTGGATGGAAGAAGAGCCAGGTGGATGAGGCTCTGTACTTCAAGAGTGATGCTGAGGGGGAGATGTGCTGGCTGCTGGTGTATGTGGATGATCAGCTTGCTGCCAGCCGCAGTCAGAGCATGCTGGGGGAGCTGCGTGAGCTGCTGCAGAGTGCGTTTCAGCTGCGGGAGATTAGCCCTGTGGAGAAGTACTTGGGGTTGCAGCTGATTCGGGACAGGCCTACGAGGAGGCTGTGGCTGCACCAGGGGGCCTATGTGGACAAGGTCCATAGGCGCTTCTTCGACGGGGAGCAGCCGCTGCGAGTGCCTCGCACCCCCCTTTCCTCTGACCCTTTCAGTGTGCAGACCTTTGAGGATGCGGGATGGCAGTCTCGCCAGGAGGAGGAGTACAGGCAGAAGGTGGGATCCTTGCAGTTCGCAGCCTGTACCACCCGTCCCGACATCTCCTTTGCCTGCAGCAAGCTGGGGTCGGGCCAGACAGTGCGGAGTGACCAGCACTGGAAGGAGTTGGACCGGTGCTTGGCGTACCTGGTGGGGAGCAGGGATGTGGCGCTGGAGTTTGGTGGTGGGCCTGAGTCCTTGGAGCTGGTGGGCTACGCCGATGCTGATGATGCAGGAGACAAGCAGAACAGGACCAGCACTGGTGGCTACATCTTCGTGCTCGGGGGTGCTGCTGTCTCTTGGGCGAGCCAGAGGATTCGTTGCGCCACCCTCTCCTCCACTGAGTCTGAGTACGTTGCTGCTGTGGAGGCTGGGAAGGAGGCGCGCAGGCTGCGCTTCCTGCTGGCAGAGTTTCAACTGCTGAGGAGTGAGGTTCCCACTACTCTCTTTGTGGACAACTCCTCCGCCATTTCAGTGGCAGGTGGCATGGGGCTCAAGGGGAGCCTCAAGCACATGGAGCGTCGTCACATGTGGCTGCAGCACATGGTCAAGCGCAGGAAGCTGCAGCTGCAGTACATCCCTACGAGCGAGCAGCCTGCTGACTACCTTACCAAGGCATTGCATTTCCCCGCCTTCAGCCGTTGCTTCGAGGCTGTGGGGCAGGTGAGGCTCTCGAGCGAGGGGAGTGAGACCTAGACCCTCCATGACGTGGTTGGTGCCATGGCCTATCCATGGCTGGTGCGGTGCGTGTTTGCACTTTGAGAGTGCTTCGTTTGTGTGTGTTTCCCTTTGTTTTGGTGTGTATGTGTGTATGCATGCCCTGTGATTATAAAGGGCCTTGCTGTAGTATGGCAGGGGAGTGTTAGAGGGCCCTACGACAGCAAGGGCCCTCACGAAGCTATTGACTCGGTTGTTTGCAGTGGGCGACTACCAGCGTTGACGACACCACCTCGGGAAAGTCGGTGGTCACACATTGATTAGCAGCAGCTGCGATTGAGCTTGTGCTGGTCTACGGAAGTCTTGCAAGCCTTCCTTGCAAGGCACGCCACTTCTTAGCCAGTTTGTGGGTGTCTTGTATAGTGCAGCCGAGTTGGGGTTGGTGTTTGGTGGTGTGACGTGCTTGGCGAACCATTCCGCTGCTGAGTCAGGTTGGGATTGGCCGAGGCGCGTTCACCCACCCACACGACAGTTTCGTGGGGTTGGGTTACTGCGCAGCGCCACGGCAACTTTGTGCAACTCTCCCGTAGCCTATATTTGCATGTGTGTTTGTTTGTGTTTCATATATTCTATTTTCCTAGTGAAGTCCAATCTCTACTCAAATTCTCACTTAGTCATTTGAGACCAACGCTACCAAACTATACCGAATTACTGTCACAACATCAATTCCCATAGCCGAAACTCTCTCGCCGTCGTAACGCTCTCCATAGTATTCCTTCAGCGCACGTTCTCCGCATCGCCTCCGCCTGCCGTCGCTGGCGGAAACTCGCACGCGAGTCCGTCACAACGCTTCACGTGCTAGAGGACCGTTTCGTGTCTCGCCGGGATCTCAAACGCGTTTTGGCGTCCTTCCCGAACCTCACTCGCCTGCACCTGAGCGATCAGAGCATGGAAACGATCGACAATGATTTCTTGGCATTTCTCGGCTCTTCCTTCCTAGATCTAACCGCTCTTCATGTCGGCGAAGGCATTGCTCCTAAGGATGACGACGAGTATGACGAAGAGGATGAGGATTTCGAAGATTCGGGTTACCCCGTCACGGCTGCTGGGCTGGATAGTCTTTTTCGCCGATGTCGCCGCTTGGAGCAGCTGTCACTCCAGTGCCTGCATCGGGCAACGACGCTTCCGGATTCGTTCTTCCAGCTGACGCGCCTGCACACGCTCTCTCTTGGGGGGATATCGCCTTTGCAGTACCCTAACTTCGTCAATCTGTCTTCTCTCACGAAGCTTTCGATTCAGAAGCAGGACATGCACTTGCATCAGCTGTCCCCATTGACTGGCCTTTCGATTCTGACCAGCCTGTTTTTCCCAGGAAGGACATGGTTCCATGATTTCGAAGGGGATTTCTCATTTGGTCAACTGACAACGCTTTGTTCGCTGGGATTCGTTCAGGCGCCAACAGACTTCCCGTCAATGTTTCCGTCAACCTTACCGTGTTTCCGTCTTCAGCGACTGCTGCTAGCCCAGATTCAAAACATCCCGTCTGAGGAACTTGGACAGCGGTTTCCTGCACTTCGCGAACTCTGCCTTTCAGAAAGCCCTTTTCTGACTGAGCTGCCAGATTCCCTCACAAGCATCAACACCTTGGAGATTCTCACCATTTCCAACTGCAGTGTATCCAGCCTGCCTGACAAGCTTGGAAATCTGTCAAGGCTGAAGTCCTTGGTGCTGAGTATGCTGCCATTGGATGGACTCCCTGATTCTATTGGGTTACTCACAGGGCTTCAGAAGCTGTATATCAGCTGTATTTGGTCGGACATCGCTCCTGCAGCAATCTCCTCCTTGACAGCTCTCGAATCGTTGGTGATCAGGCCATTAAGGCTGACATTGAACCCAGACGAGATCGGCGAGCTGACCAATCTCCGGAATCTGGAGCTTAGCAGCTGTGCCTCCCTGCAGCAGCTGCCGTCATCACTGGGTCGTCTCTCTTCTCTAACACAACTCCATCTCGACAAGTGTCCCATGGTTAACCTTCCGGAGGCCATAGGCCAGCTGGGTGGCCTGCGAGAGCTGGCCCTGAGCTGCTGCAATGAGCTGACAGCGCTGCCGGCGTCCATCACTCAGCTGAGCCGCCTGGAGACTCTCAAGGCTTACATGTGTGAGAAGCTCGAGTCTGCACCTCGAGCCATGGGGAATTTATCGCTCTTGCGGAAGCTGGATTTGTGGGGTTGTGTTCTCTTGAAGGAGAGTGTAGAGCCTCTGCCTTGGTCTTTGGAGGACTTGAGGTGGGGGAATGACATCACCAGCATCACTCTTCCTGACTTGTCAACGGCTCCAAATCTCAAGAGGCTGCATCTGACTAATGTCACTATCAAGGACGCAGCAGCGATCAGCCGCAGCCTCTCTGGGATCGAGAAACTTGAGTTGCGGCTGGGCGCTGAACAAACAGAGATCCCTCTCCTGCTCGGGTTCCTGTCATGCCTTCGTGACCTGCGCATCTCGAAAGCCAAGTCCCTGCAACACCTGCCTCATGACGTCGGGTCTCTTCCTCAGCTGCGACAGCTTCATGTGGAAGGAGCAGAATCTTTGCAGGAGATTCCAGCAAGTGTGGGCCAGCTTGTGCATCTCAGATCTTTCCACATCGAAGCTCCAAATCTGACCCACCTTCCCGAGAACCTCTCTTCCTTGTCAAGATTGGGTGATCTCAGCCTGCCGAAATGCTCCTCCCTGACAAGCCTGCCCTGCTCTTTCACTGCCCTCGCCTACCTGCACAAGTTGGATGCCAGCAAGACATCACTGCACGTCCTCCCTCCGAATTTCTACCGCTGGGGGAGACTCAGGGAGCTGGATCTGCTTGACTGCGAGCAGCTTCAGTTTCTGCCACAGGAGCTTTGCTGCTTGACGATGCTGCGAAAGGTGGATCTCCGCGGCTGCAAGATACTTGGCTCAGATCCGGTGTTACCAGATGGGATGTTTTCCACAAGATAGCTTAGGTTGTTTGGAGTGCAGGAGATTTGTATGGTATTAGTAGCATACTGAGCAGGCTATAAGTCTTGCAAAGCTTTGTAGAGGTTGATGTGTTTCAAGCACATCTGGGTGCTTGAGAGCTGTTGTGAAGCATCACAGTTTTAAATTTCCAATTGTATTGTTGACATGTACCTATGATAACTCCCTCCTAATCTAGAGCACGCCTTGCATGCCTTTCTTAAAACTGGAATATTTGTTTGAGAGCAGGGAGAACTATGATCTCTCTTCCCAATACAGTAATCAACAATGCACTCAAAGCTGTACTCCCAACTCCAAGTGCTGCTGCAGCTGCAGGGTGATTCCTCTTGGGTGTTGTGCTGCGGCTGCAGGGTCTGCCATCAGGGAGCGCAGGGCTGCTGGTGGTGTTGGAAGCACAAACAATCATGAGGGGCAGTACACTACACACACTCTCTGGCAGCATGAGAGTGCCCTGCATGCCATTCCATGGCGACTTGTGGTTGCTGGGGAGGCGAGTGAGGTTGACATTGCTACTGCTTCTGCTGCAGCTGCTACCGTAATCAGCTTCTGCTTTTGCTCGGCATGGTAACATGATTTTGGTTCATGTGGTAGTGTGGTGTGGTGATATTAACAAAATGCTTAGTTTACTCTTTGCAGGCAGGTTGGCATCCACATCACAATAGCTTCTCTAGTCCAAATACAAGACCCTGCAGTTATGCGGAAAAAAAAAAAGGCATAGAGAGGCGGTAATGCAGGAAAAGGCAAACAAGCAGTGTGGAAAATGTGAATGGCAATGCAGAGGGGGATCGTCATGCATGTGAGAGTCCTGGTTCCTTCTCCATCACAGATTGGTGAGTGCGAGCGGAACATATGAAAGCCCATTTTGTCGTACAAGGGGCTTACAGGCAGAGAGGAAGTGTGTGGCAGGAAGTATGGGAGAGAGGGTTGTGTGGGGTGTGGGCATACCTTGAGAGAGGTACAGCACCGGACAGATGGAAGGGAGGAGACGGCGAAATGAAGCTGACGCAGTCAAGGAGGGATGTGAAGAAGATTCTGACCTTTAACCTGGGCGATCGTCTGATGGCGAGCAGTAGACCGGGCATGTATGCTGCATGTGATGTTATGTCCAACCGGAGAGATGCCGTCTGTAGTGCCATGCCACATGCCATACACACGCAGCATCACGTAAGGGGCACGAGATATAGAGTGTGGAGCATGGGCGGCACGAATGGCACGAGTGGCACGAGTGGCAAGTCTGTCATGGGAAGCATGTGAGTGGCATGAATAAGAACAAAATATCAACGGACAGCTGCAAGCTCACTCGATTTTGAGGCGCCTAAAAATCGGCAGCTTGTGCGGCTATTATGGTACGTATGGCATGTATAAGAACAAAATATCAACAGACAGCCGCACACAGACCCACTCACCTGTCCGTTGCTCCCAAACCGCACGTCAGTGCTCTGCAGCAGCCCTGGCTGCTGCATGCTGTGCACCCTCACGCCCTCCTCCATAAGCAATCCCCGAGCCTGCAGGAAAGAGGAGTGGCATCAGAATGAGTGGCATGGGGATGGATAGGAGTATGAGTATGAGAAAGAAGGGCTGTGGCATGCTGTTCACCCTCACGTTCCCCTGCACAAGCAAGCCCCAAGCCTGCAGAGCAGGTAAGAAAAAAGCATGGGACTCTTTAGGCGCCTAAACAGTCGCCCTGGCTGCAGCGTGATGTGCACTCCCTCTCGCAGCCTCCATCCATATGCAATCCCCGAGCCTGCCAAAGCAAGAGCCTTTTCGTGCCTCGCACTGCTGAACGTTGAACGCTCGATCCCCCTTTGCCACACTTAAGCCAGCTGTTGGGAGTGCCCGTAATGAGTGAGCAGAGCATTTCCGTGGGCCCATCGAAATGTGTTGACGGCCCACATGGGCACTGACCGCGTCCATGGAGGTATCGTTCCCATTGAACGTGCGCCCCACTTGCGCCAGCTGCTGGCCGAGTCGAACAGCAACCTCTGAAGTTGTCTACATTTGCACAGGTGAGTCGTGTGACATGAAAAACTCACCGGGTCCTCGGATGAGTCATTGCCATTGAACGTGCGACCCACTTGAGCCAATTGCTGCTGGAAGAGCATGTGGTGAGACCATGGACGTGCACGTCACATGTGCTGAAGGTCAACATGGGAACTCACCGGGTCCTCGGATGAGTCATTGCCGTTGAACGTGCGTCCCACTTGAGCTAGCTGCTGTGCCAGTCGAACAGCGTCCTCTGATGGTGCCTGTGTGTGTGGGCAGGGGAGCAAGCGTGTATGGGATGGTATGGCATGACCTTCTGAGTTGATCTGGAAACTCGCTTGAGCCAACTGCTGGGCCAGCCTAACCGCGTCCTCTGATGGTGCCTGCGCACGCACGGCATTCAGAGTGTATGGGATAATGGAATGGCATGGCCTGATATTCTGGAAATCTGGGTGAAGTAAAAAACCCTCGTGTGCCAATTGCTGTGCCAGCCTAACTGCGTCATCTGATGGTGCCTGCGCAGGCACGGCAGTCAGGAAGCAAGCATGAGAAGCCATGCACGATGCGGCATAGTGGGGAGGGGATGGCATGGCATGGCATGGCATGGCAGGACACGGCAGAGGGTGTGGCATGTCATGGTGGTGCGTCACCTCTGCTTGTGACTCCATAATGTGGGCGTGTGAGTAGTGCAAGGCTAACTGAGTGGCTTGCGAATCGGGTGGCATTCGAATCGGGTGGCATGCAAACCGAGTGGCTGGCACCTGTGTTCCTCGCTCCAAGTACCCTCACAGTCTCACCTGAGCCAAGTCCGCACGTGAATCGATGATGTGCACATGGGAGCAGTGGATGCAAACTGGGTGGCAGCTCAGCTCGCTCCAAGAGGATGGAGAGGATGCGTGAATGGCATGGCAGCCGCATCCATACCCTACCTATGGCTTTTGAGCCGCCTAAAAAAACGATCGCATGGCAGCCGCATCCATACCCTACCTATGGCTATTGAGCTGCCTAAAAACAAGATGGCATGGCAGCCGCACCCGTACCCTACCTACGCCTCGCTCACAGCAAGCACCCTCACCTCTGTCAGCTCTGCGCGTGACTTGATGATGTGGGCGTGCGAGCAATGGAAGGCGAACTGCGTGGCAGCTCCCTCCAAGAGGATGGAGAGGATGAGTGCACGGCAGCCGCACTCATACCCTACCTACGCCTCGCTCACAGCAAGCACCCTCACCTCTGTCAGCTCTGCGCGTGACTCGATGATGTGAGCGTGTGAGCAATGAAAGGCGAACTGGGTGGCAGCTCGCTCCAAGAGGATGGAGAGGATGCTGAGGGTGGGGGCAATGATGCAGCCCTGGGGGTGAATGGCAATGCGGAAGAGGGAAGGGGGGATGAGATGAGGGAAGAAGCGAGAAGGGAGGAAGGCAAAGGCAAACACTGAGACAAGGAAGCTGGTTGCGATAGGGCAGACAGGCAGGGAAGGCGAACTGAGTGGCAGCTCGTTCCAAGAGGATGGAGAGTGTGGGGGCTATGATGCAACCCTGCAGGTGAGCGGGAAGGCGGGAGAAGGGAGGGGGACAACACTGGGAGAACACGGCAAGCTCGCTCCAGGATGATAGAGAGGATGCTGAGTGTGGGGACGATGATGCAACCCTGGGGGGGGGAAGGCAGGGGGGAGGAAGGAAGCGGCAAGAGGGAAGAGGGAAGAGGGAAGAGGGGAGAGGGGAGAGGGAAGAGGGAAGAGGGAAGAGGGGAGAGGGGAGAGGGGAGAGGGGAGAGGGGAGAGGGGAGAGGGGAGAGGGAAGGGGCAAAAGGGAGCAGTGGAAGGCGAACTGAGTGGCAGCTCGCTTCAGGAGGATGGAGAGGATAAAGAGTGTGGGGGCGATGATGCAACCCTGGGGGTGAAAGGGGAAGGGGCAGCGGGAAGGTGAGAGAAGAAAGGACAGCGCCAAGACTGTAAGCTTGCTTCAGGAGGATAGAGTAGAGAGGATGCTGAGTGTGGGAGCGACGATGCAACCCTGGGGGGTGAACAGGAAAGGGGCAGAGGGAAGGGGAGAGAAGAGAGGGCAGCACCAAGACAGTAAGCTCGCTCCAAGAGGATTGAGAGGATGCTGAGCGTGGGGGCGATGATGCAACCCTGGAGGTGAACGGGGAAGGGGCAGAGGGAATGGGAGAGAAGACATCGCCAAGACTGTAAGCTCTCTCCAAGAGGATGGAGAGGAGGATGCATGCCATACTATAGAGGCCTTTGCCTCATTGCTTCAAAAAATGACTGCACTGACTGGCGTTGACTGCACTGACTGGCGTTGACTGGCATTGACTGGCATTGACTGCATGCCCTACCGTACCATGTGTGCTCTAGTATGCTCGCCCCCACCACCATGTGTGTTTGACTACATTGACTGCATTGACTGGCGTTGACTGGCGGTTGACTGCATGCCCTACCGTACCATAGACGCCTTATCGCAGAACTCATAGAGACCGCTGAGCTCATCCTCTGGTATAGATGCCCCCACCACCACACTGCTGAGGCCGAATGCCGTTGCCTGATGGAAGGGAGGCGGGGTAGGTTAGGGGGCGGAGGGCGAGGGTGGGTATCTGAGCTCATCCCCTGGTATAGATGCCCCCACCACCACACTGCTGCTGAGTCCGAATGCTGTTGGGGCATGGGGCAGTGGTGGGAAAGGGGCAAGGGGGACGGATAGCGAGGGAAGGAGGGAAACGAGTGGTCATCCTCTGGTATGCTCGCCCCCACCACACTGCTGAGTCCGAATGCCGTTGCCTGATGTGGGGGAAAGGGAGACGAAGGGAAGGAGAGGGACGGGAGGGATGGTGGGGGAAAAGGGGAAAGGATGGTTACTTGATGTCAGCTATGTTGGAGCCATTTTTGAGAATTCTCAAAAAGGGGAGACGAGGTGACTTTTGAGTCGACTCAAAGGTCACCTCGTTTGGAGTCATTTTCTACAGTTCTCGAAAAGGGGAGACGGACGGGAGGGAAGGTGGGGGAAGGGAGAAAGGGGGCACAAACACACGCACACACACATGCACGCACGCACGCACGGCTCACCTGTCGCACGTTCTCGCATGCAGCAGACGCATCTCCTGTGAAATCCACATACACGTCACCCCTCAATCACACACGAGTATGCACATTCACAGACGCACCCCATCTCTCTCCCTCCCACCCTCACCTGTCGCACGTTCTCACATGCAGCAGACGCATCTCCTGTGAAATCCACATACACGCCTGTCGACCGTGACTGGGGGAGAGGAGAGGGAGTGAGTGGGGGAAGGCGAGTGGGGGAAGGCGAGTGGGGGAAGGGAAATCATTGGAAAGAAAGTCAAGGGAAGAGAACGGGTAGAGATCGAGAATGGGAGAAGGAGATTAAGTTAGAGAGGGAGAGAGACATACAGGGAGAGAGAGACAAAGGGAGAGGGAGCACCTGAGCAGCAGAGAGCGCACCTGAGAAACAGAGAAGCACGTGAGAAACAAAGAGGCACCTGAGCAACAGAAGGGCATCCGAGCAGCAGAAAGAGCACCTGAGCAACGGAAGCCAGGACCATGATGACGTCAGCCACCACTGGCAGTTCCAGAGGCTCAGGTAGACCCGCCACCTGAGACAACAGAGAGACGGGTGGTAGGGGCGGGATATAAGAAGTGGAAAAGGGGAAGGAGTGGAAGAGAAAAGAGGGGGCAAGGATGGCAAGGGGGACGGATGGAGAGGAGACGTGCGTCAGCTCAGCCCCCTTTCCTACAAGAGACATAAAAGGGCCCCTGTTTCCTCTTCCTATCTCCATCCTCTCAACTCTCTCCCCTTGCTATATCCCCTTCCCCTTCTCGCCCTCCCTTCTCACCTCCCCTGCATCCCGCCCGTTGGCCTCGGGACGGGATTGCTGTTCACCACAGCAGCTGACTGCAGTCCGCAAGAGACAAGCAACGGCCCCGGCTTCCCCTCATCTCTCCATCCTCTCAACCCGCTCCTCTTTCCATACCCCATCTCCCCTCTCTCCGTCTCACCTTCCTTGCATCGCGCCCATTGGCCTCGGGATTGTCGTCCACCACACCACAGCAGCTAGTTGCAACCCGCAAAAGACAAGCAAATGCCCCTGCCTCCCCTCATCTCATCTCTTAATCCTCTCTGTCCCCTCTACCCGCTCCCATTCTCTCTTCTCACCTACCCTGCGTTTCGCGTGTTAGCCTCACGATTGCATCCACCACAGCAGCTAGTTGCAACCCGCAAAAGACAAGCATAGTCCTTTGTCTCCCCTCATCCCTCCATCGTCTCTCAAACCTCTCTCCCTCCCATCTCCCGTCGCACCTCCCCTGCGTCTCGCCCGTTCGCCTTGGGATTGCCGTCCACCACAGCAGCTAGTTGCAGCATGCGAATGACAAGCAACCGCCCCTATCCCTCCATCCTGTCAGCCTCTCCCCCTGCCATATCCCCTCGACCCACCCCACATCCCCTCTCCCGTCTCACCTCCCCCGCGTCCCGCCCGTTGGCCTCGGGATTGCCGTCCACCACAGCAGCCAGTTGCAGCCCGCGGGCAGAGGAGAGCGTAGAGAGGATGGTGGCGCCGAGAGGAGAGGCCACAGGGCCGCTCACCACCAGCTGCGGGGGAAGATACGGGGGCAGAGAAGGAGGAGAGGGAAGAAATTTGCTTATATATGGAGCAGCTAGTTGCAGCCCGCGAGCAGAGGAGAGCGTCGAGAGAATGGGTGGCGCCGAGAGGAGAAGCCACCGAGCCGCTCACCACCAGCTGCGGGATTTGAAGGGGTGGGGGCGGAGGGATGAAGTTAAGGGAAGAAGGAAATGAGTTTGGAGCAGAGAATAGTGGCACCGAGAGGATAAGCCACAGGACCGCTCACCACCAGCTGGCGTAGTAAGGGGCGGGAATGGGGAGCGAGTCACCCCGCGAAGGCCGAGGCTGGTACACTAGGCAGCGCAGAAACCAATTGATATGATTGGCTAGTGGCGTATTAATCTGCCGTATTACTTGGAATAATTCGTTTAGAGGCACCTTGAGAACGTTTCCGCCTTGCTGCGGCGCGCGCGGGAATGCGCCCATTCCTGGCGGCCCTCCGATCGCGCGGATCCCAGCTCGCCGTCCGATCTGCTGATGAACATTCGATCCTACGGCTGGGATCACACGAGCCCCGCGTTGCTGGCGAAAAGAATCTATCGATTCCCCGGAAAAGGCGGACTTTGCGTGCGCGGGAAGTCGCCGACGTGAATAACAATGGCGTGGTGTGGTGAAGGATGAATTAAGAATTGAGTGCGGAACGGACGCCATGGCTGCCAGGCCAATTCTGGCTCCGTAATCTCACACTGTGTTGTATCCTTCCTGACCGAACGGCAAGCGCTGTTTTCGCTAAAGAGATGTTGCTGGATTGGGCCTGAAGAAGCCAGAAATCCTGATCGCAAGCAAACTCGCGCTGGCGATTGTACGCGATAAGATGGTTTCCGGTACGATATCTGTCTGTTCAATGCTGTGGTGGTGTGGGTGGGGTGGATCCCTTTCTCTGGATGATGACGTGGAGCTTCTGTCAGCGGACGGGGTCTCCACGTCACCTGCTGTCCAGATTCAACAAAGTACGACCCACGTTTGAGTTGCCACTTTGTAGAGTACTGTACCAGCTTTCGGCCAACACTTTTGCCTTACATTTTTTGGGGTTCTAGACTTCAAGTAGTTCTTTTTGCAATATATTAACAGCACAAAGCTACATTTCCATCGTGTGCAGAATCGTGGCAGAATAATAACGTGTTCAAATGCACTGCACGAGCATTGCTTTGGCGCACTGACAGTCATCTCCTGTCAGTTTCGGACAAGTCCTCAGTCACCTCGCCAGTCAGCAGACTCGTTACCTTAGAAGAAGAGTCCGTTTCGAAGTACCGGTGACAGGAATGTCAACGATGCTTGAGCATAGGAACCCGAAACGCACACAGCAAGCTCGACCTCGATTCTGTAGGAGATTGCTCTACCACCACACAATGAGAGGGACCGACTCGTTGCGACGCATCGAAGGCTCATTGCGACCGATTGTGACAATGAATCTATCTCATAGTAACGTTGTCCTTCCGAATTGAATGATGAGACGGTCGCTGTCAAAGCGTGGTGATCGCGTCTGGCTCACTGGGAGACGTGGTCGCCGTTCCATCCGTAGTTGTCTGGGGAGTCCCAGGCTCCGGATGAGGACTGGGACTGAGTCTTCATCATGCCATGTCGCCTTCCACGATCATCATGTTGTTCTTAAAAAAACACTCTATCCTACTTCCTTGGTTCCTACTCGGAACAATTAACACGGTTGATAATACTGGCACAGCACTACGGGAAGGGATGCGCGCTCTCGCCATCGCCTGTAGCATCAGTCGCTGCGTGTTTATATCTCGCGATTCTCGTCGGTCAAGCGTTTTCTACTCCGAACCCTGGAAGCGAAAGCAAATGCGAAATTCCATTCGAAACCGGCACTGCGCTCCGTGCTGAACATGCTGGGTCGCGAAGCATTGCGCGAACTCCGCCACTCGGGTAACACCGCTGGCGAAGCCGATCATGACAAAGTTCCTGTTGCATAGCCGCGCCTGTTGCATGCTTTACTTGATTCCGTGACGTGGCGTGTGACGTGTCGTGTCACGTGCCGTGTGACGTGGCGTTGACGTGGCAGGTGGAACAGCTGGAACTATTTCGGGTGCAATGTCACTGAAGAGATTGTGAGAACTCAAGGTATTGACTGACAGTGCTGGAAACGGACCACCACAGAGATGTTATTGCAGCCCGTTACCACAGTTGCTTGAGGGGAAAGGCCCGCTGTTGCTTGCACGCCTGATCAACCCTCCTCCTATGTTGCTGTCTGCTGCTGCGTCTCGCTGTGTGTTGTGCTGTGAACCTCGTGATGGAAACTTGTTCTCTGTCACAGCGGACTTGCTTGTATCCTCAGGACTCGCAGCCCTCGGCTACATCTACGTCAACATCGGTGAGACGGCACTCCTATAAATACTGTGGAGCATGTCCATAGGAATAAGTGGATATGATGATTATTGGGACTAATGGGACGCACCCTCCTTCAGACAGGACTATGTTAAGGTTCAAGTTTGCCTGTCTTTCGCATTGCCAGCATAAAATGTTGCCTTGCTGCCTATTTCTGACGGTTTAGGGTTGCCTATTTCTGTTGTTCAAGTAGGTTCAGGATGCGGTTGCCTGACGTCCTTCTGTCACCCCCATCCTGTTAACATCGTGACTTGACCCTCTCTCTGTCACAGATGATTGCTGGCAAGCAGACTCTCGAGACTCTGAGGTAGGTGGGTGAATCATCCTCCCATCTTATGCATCCCAACCCCATGCATCGGAACCCTCATCCACTTCTTGTCCCTGCACTGTCCACTGTGTTCAGAGCTGCTGGGCGCCGTCCCCAGACTTGAGACGCCGCAGAGCCACTTTGCATTTCCTCTCTGGCTCGCATCTCTGCATCGTTCACTGTGTGTTCAGGGTCGCCTGGCGCCTGGCGCCCTTTGCGACGTCTCTGATTAAAATCCCCATGCGTCCCGTGCATAGCATCACAACCATCTTGTCTCGTCTCTTTCTCCACTGTGTGTTCAGGGTCGCCTGGTGGCATCCCCGGTCTCCTTCCCGTCAGGGATCAAGGCCCTTGCGGACTATGTGCACAGCAAGGGGCTCAAGCTGGGCATCTACGCCGATGCTGGGTGAGGAGGATGGGTTTCCCACAGTGCGGGGATGGGTGGCGTGGCGCTCGGTGGTTGATATGGTGGAAGAGAGAGGGAGAAGGGGGCATTTGGTTTATGCACACAGTGCGGAGAGCACGTGAGAGAAGACTCGATGACTCGAGCCCACAGCACGGAGCCCACAGTATGTCATCGGAGAACGGGCTTTCCGATGACTCGAGCCCACAGCACAAGGAAGGAGGTCTGGTGGGGGAAAAAGGAGGAAAGGGGAGGGGTTGGAAGAGAACAGATGGGGGAGACAGAGGAAGCAGCAGGATCTTGTGTTCATGTATGTACCTGCCTGGCTTGTGTCTCCCTCCATCCCCCCGTACCAATGGTGTGCCTTTGTTGTTCCTTCCAACAAACCCCACCAGCCTTCGCACGTGTGCCTTGAAGCCAGGCTCGCTGTGGCACGAGGCAGTAGATGCTGCCACCTTCGCTGAATGGGTGGGTGTTACACGCATGCCCTCTGATGCCCAAATGCTCTCAACTCAAGCACCAGCAACTGTGGCACCTGACTCTCCACCCACCCCCACCAGCGTTCGCACATGCGCATTGAAGCCTGGCTCGCTGTGGCATGAGGCAGTGGATGCAGCCACCTTCGCTGAATGGGTGAGCGTTACACGCATGCCCTTTGATGTACACATGACTCTCCAACCAACCTCACCAGCATTCGCACGTGTGCCTTGAAGCCAGGCTCGCTGTGGCATGAGGCAGTGGATGCAGCCACCTTCGCTGAATGGGTGGGTGTTACACACATGCTCTTTGATGTACACATGACTCTCCGACCACCCCCACCAGCATGGCACAAGTGCGTTGAAGCCTGGTTCGCTGTGGCACGAGACAGTGGATGCAGCCACCTTCGCTGAATGGGTAAGACATGCACATATGCTCTCACGCACTAGCAACTGTGGCACATGCTTCTGGCACATGCTTGTGCATGCTTGTGGCGGACTTAGAATGAACAAGACTTGAGTGCCATGACTCTAGTCTAAATGGCAAGTAGAGCACGTTTTTTTCATTGTAAGTGTGCTTCCTTGCTTGTGGCACGTGCAAGTGGCAGGGAGTGAATTATTTCAAGGCTACAAGCACTTTTGACTCCACTCAAACGTCGCCTTGTTTGTGGCACGTGCACATGGCATGCATGGCATGACATGACAGGGAGTGGATTATCTCAAGTACGACAACTGCTACAACGATGGGAGTCCCAGCATAAAGCGGTATGTTTTTTTTCGGAACGAGTTTGCACTATATCCATGCAAATACATTCACAGTCATAAATCGGTATGTATGTACACTCTACAGTCGTGGTGCTCTGCCATTACTCTCAAGCAGGCTATTCTGATTACACTTTACAGCTACTTTATGGGTTTTCTCTTGAGCTTAACACTCATATGTCATTCTGATTTCAGCTTTATCTAAACTACCCAATAAATGTACATGTAAGTGAAAGCATATGTGCCCACACCTCAACACATTTTGCCAACCATGCATGCCCTGCATGCCACCATGCGAGATGCCTTTCCAGTCTCATGCACCCCATCTCTTCCATCCGTCCCATACCCCACATGCCTGCATGACTTCATCCTTCCCATGCCTCCTATGCCTCCCACTGTCATCAGCTACACGATCATGCGCAATGCATTGGAGGCCACTGGGAGAGACATATTCTTCTCCATGTGCGACTGGTGAGTTGATATAAATAATAAATCAAATACCAGTGTTGCTGCACTGTCCTCCTTCCACTCGCACTGTATTGATTTTTTTTTACATCTGACCGCATGTTACTTCCTAATCAATCATTTCATGATAGCATCCTTGTCTGCGTATCTTAAGGCTTTGGGGCGACTCACAAACAACCAACAAGCTGATATATTAAATGAGGCACCTCAGAAGGAACCAAACCATCATTGATTGGATCTGCGGCCAATTAAGTTTTCATCTAATTAAACCATGAAGGTAAGCAAGTTTAGAGATATATAGGTGTATGTATCCACACACACACATGTCTGTGTGTGTGTATGTGTGTGTGTGTGTATGTGTGTGTGTGTGTGTGCGTGCGTGCGTGCGTGCGTGCATGCGTGCGTGCGTGCGTGCGTGCGTGAGTGCGTGCGTGTGTGAGTGCGTGCGTGCATGAGTGCGTGCTTGTGTGTGCGTGTGTGCGTGCGTGTGTGTGTGTGTGCGTGCGTGTGTGTGTGTGTGTGCGTGTGTGTGTGTGTGCACGTGTTGTGTGTATGCGTGTGGTGTGCGTGCGTGTGTGCGTGTGTGCGTGCGTGCGTGCGTGCGTGTGTGCGTGTGTGCGTGCGTGCGTGCGTGCGTGCGTGCGTGTGTGCGTGTGTGCGTGCGTGCGTGCGTGCGTGCGTGTGTGTTTTGCTGCCTGCAGGGGCCAGGATCTCCCTGCTCTGTGGGCGTATGGCGTGGCAGACACATGGCGCACCACCCGTGACATTGAGGACACGTGGAGCAGGTGAGAAGGGCCACGTGGAGGTATAGGAGAAAGATGGGAGAGGAAGGGGTAGGATGGGAGGAATTGGGGAGGGTGGTAGAGGAAAAAAGTGAAGGGGGTAATTGGGAAGACTGGGAGAGGAAGGGGAGAGGTGAACGGATGCGCTTTCAAGGTACGCCTCAGAATTCACTGCTACTATTTTGCCTCACTGTCAGTGTTTCTGAGACTCCTCAAAATAGTATCTAACTCACTAATACCCTCTTGCGTCCCTGCCTGTGTGCATGCATGTGACACGTGGCTGTCTTGCAGCATGATTCGCATTGCAGACATCAAGTGCATGTGGCATCAGTAACGACACCTTACCCTTCTGCCTTTGTGCATGCATTTGCCCATGTGACACGTGGCTGACTTGCAGCATGATTCGCATTGCAGACATCAACTACAAGTGTCACCTTGCCTCCCTGCTATTGTGTATCATGCCGTACCCCTTTGCAGCATGATGCGCATTGCAGACATCAACAACAAGTGGGCCAAATACGCCAAACCAGGCGGGTGGAACGGTGAGTTCCAGTGGGAGATCTGAATGTGCCCAGCATAGGAGGTGACTATATATATGTTCACCTTGTGTTTATCAAATTCACATTAAAATGGGCGGCCGTTATTTTAAACTTGGTGGAATCAAAGCCGCATCAAGCACCTGTAGTCTGCCGCTTTTTCTGCCATGCTTGCACCGCTTTCGAGAATTCTCAAAAGTGGCCGCATTTGCTGTCTCTTCCCATCAGACCCGGACATGCTGCAGGTGGGAAAAAAAACATCCCACCAAGCATCCCGCTTTCCCCTTACCCCTTCCTCCCCCCCACACAATCAGACCCAGACATGCTGCAGGTGGGGAATGGCGGCATGAGGCAGTCGGAGTATCGTGTGCACTTCAGCCTCTGGGCCATCATGAAGGTGAGATGGCCCGTCATGATTGGATGCAGACCGGCGGGTGTAAACTGAAGGCTTTGCGTATCTCAAAGGCTTTCTTAAGGCTTTTACAGAACCACCCACCCACCCCTGTACCTCCCACCAGGCGCCTCTGCTGATTGTCTGTGATCTCTCTGCTGCCTCGAACGAGACCATGAGCATTCTGAGCAACAACGAAGTGATAGCCGTCAACCAGGGTACGTGTGTTCTGAGGTGTGTTATGGGTTGACTCGAAACACGGCTGCGAGCTTTTCGCAGCGTCGAATGCGACCATGAGCATTCTGAGCGACGACGAGGTCATTACCAAGGGGTATGCGATATGCGCTCATGCTGTTCTGCTGCTCGATACCAAGCATACGTACACTAACATGTTCAAGCTCAAAGTCTACTTTTGAGTAGACTCATAAGCAGACTCATGCCGCTCTGCTGCTCGATACCAAGCATACACAAGCACATTCAAGCTTGAAGTTGCCTAAACAAGGACTTGTGCCCAAGCGTTCAGCTCGAAACGAGCCGAGTTGTTCCCTGCACACGTAGAGCTGAGTTCCACTGACAAGTGTTGAAGCTGTGACTGGTGCAGATTCACTGGGAGTTCAGGCACGAAAGGTGCATATTTCCCACAACTCGTCGGTGGAGGTGAGACCCTCTCTTGCACGCCACGGCTTGGATAAGTATCACCGTGGCTTGGATGTTTGTCACGTGGTTTTTTTGTCTACTTATTGCAGGCCAAATCGTCTCTGTTGTTTTTTTCCACCTAAAGAAAATGGTATTATTGCTTGCTAGCTGACTGGCAAAAATCGCCGCCTACCGTATGCGGCCTGCTTTACACAAGTTGTTCAAGAACTCCTTTACTTAAATTTCTGTGCCCTTACCAAATTTGTAGGTCTGGTCCGGGCCTCTGTCTGATGATCGGCAAGTAGTGGCTTTGGTGAATCGTGGTGCGAGGAGCGAGAATGTGACCGTCAGCTGGAAATCAATAGGGCTGAATGCGGTGCAGCGGATGTATGCGCGAGACCTCTGGAAGGTGAGTGACTTCAAGACATTTGTAGCAGATCGTTTCTCAGTTGACTCGAAAATTTGTTGCAGCGGATGTATGCGCGAGGCCTTTGGGAGGTGAGTCTGAGTAGCAGCAACTCTTTCCTCTCGCGCACACTCATGCAGAAGCTTCCTCGTTTACACACCAGCATAATCTATGTTATGTGTCTCCACCCCATGCTCCTCCTGTGGTGCAGAAATCCACCTGGAATTCCGCCTTCTCTGGAGAGCTAAGTTCCCGTGTTTCAGGCACGCACAGAACCCGCACACACTCTGAACTCTCTTCTCATGTGTCTGCTCCTCCCCATGCTCCCTCTGTGGTGCAGAAATCCACCATGAATTCTGCCTTCTCTGGAGAGATGAGCTCCTGTGTTTCAGGCACGCACAGAACCCGCACACACTCTGAACTCTCTTCTCATGTGTCTGCTCCTCCCCATGCTCCCTCTGTGGTGCAGAAATCCACCTTGAATTCCGCCTTCTCTGGAGAGATGAGCTCCCGTGTTTCAGGCACGCACAGAACCTGCACACACTCTGAACTCTCCTCATGTGTCTGCTCCTCCCCATGCTCCGTCTGTGGTGCAGAAATCCACCTTGGATTCCGCCTTCTCTGGAGAGATGAGTGCTCGTGTTGCGAGCCATGACGTGCGACTCTTTGTGATCTGGCCCGCTCCAGATGTCTAAGGCTTGGGTTCCGCCCGTATCAGATGTCTCCTGCTAAATTCAATCTGTTCGCAATAATGTTGTTGGTGGTACTGTTAGAATCTAGCAGCAGGAATGAGTGAACTAACAGGATGCAGGAGTACAAGTAGTAAACCCTAACTGGGTTGTACCCCATATGGGCTACCCCACTACAGCCTAGACAATATGCAGCACATATAGTTTGACACACCCCCATAGGCAAAGTGGGGGAGAACAAGGGGTCACATGACCAGTCAAGAGAAGCAAAACAAGCTCAGGGTGGATCACAACGTCACCACGCATTCTGAGCACAAGCAAAGGGCCACAGGGCCAGTTCACATGCAGAGATATATATGCAGCAATAACAGTACAGTGATGGCTACCTAGCAAGAGCCAGCATGCATATATATATATATATATATATATATATATATATATATATATATATGTACAGATCACAGTACAAGCAGAGACTACAGCAAGTGTGGAAACGTAGGCACAAGGCCTAACAGAGTACAAAAGCGCTGATGATCACCAGACGGAAGTGCCTTGGTGAATATGTCAGCAGTGTTGGCCCGAGTGGCCACGTGGCGAAGACGAAGCTGACCTCGCTGCTGCAACTCTCGAGCCAGGAAGTACCGCAGAGCAATGTGCTTCGTTCTGTGCTCCAGTCTGTGCTCCTCACACAAGGCAATGGCGGCCTTGTTGTCAACGTACAGCACTGGAGGAGAACGAGGCTGCTCTCCCAAGTCAGTCAGCAGGTAGGTGAGCCAGCGTAACTCCTGTGCAGCCATGGCGGTGGCGTAGATCTCAGCCTCACAACTGGAGCCGAGAACTGAAGACGAGCGTGTAGAACGCCACGAAACTGAACCAGAGCCAAGGCTGAAGATGTAACCCTGTGACGACCGCTGAGTAGCCAGGTCGTCAACCCAAGAAGCGTCTGAGTGCCCAGTGAGGACAACTGGGCTCGTCCCTCCAAGCACTCAGGAGCTTCCCGCTCCTTCTTTCGCGACTGCACCGCACTCACGCCGCTCCGTCGGCCAGTCCCGGTCTCCCTGGCGGACCCCTCTGGGGGTCCAGTCCTTGCCCACTATTCCACGGTTCTGCCGTGTCCGGCCGTCCCGTCCGGCTCGCTGTCAGGTCTTTACCTCCCCTCGTTCTCTACGAACTTGGTGAGTGGAGCTGACCTCCAGGATGGGGGGGTTCACCAGTTCACTCCTGCGAGTCAGCGAGTGACTCACTGTACGTGTGCTAGGACGGGCCGGCACTTGGCCACGTTCACCCGTGCACCTGGCTCGAGTCTGTACACACTGACCACTGAGTCCCCTCAGGTAGCTGCGTCTGCGTTTGCGTCTGCGTCTGGTCAGCTGGCGGCCCCCTGCGAGTGTCGCGCTTTGTCGCACGACACTCTCCTGTGGCACCACCGCCTTGGTCACCCCTCCTTGCCTCGCCTGCGTAGCATGCACTCTCGCTCCCTGGTCTCTGGTCTTCCCAGGTCCCTGCCTGCCCTCCCTCCCTCGCCTGCGCCGCCCTGCATTCCTTGCGTCGAGGGGCGGCAGCGCGCCGCTCCTCACTCCTCCTCGTTTCCTCCCACAGAGGCTCCACTGCAGACGCTCCACCTGGACGTGTGGGGCCCAGCCCGCGTCCAGGGACAAGGCCGCGAGCGGTACTTCCTGCTGGTCGTCGACGACTACACGCGTTACACCACGGTCTTCCCCTTGCAGAGCAAGGGGGACGTCCCTGCTGTTTTGATCCCCTGGATCCGCGCTGTTCGTCTCCAGCTCCGCGAGCGGTTCCGGTCGGACTTTCCTGTCCTGCGTCTGCACTCTGACAGAGGTGGTGAGTTCTCCTCCGACCTCTTGGCAGCCTACTGTGCGGAGCACGGCATCACCCAGTCGTTCACGCTTCCGGCCTCTCCGCAGCAGAATGGGGTTGCTGAGCGCCGCATTGGCTTAGTCATGGAGGTCGCTCGTACCTCCATGATCCATGCGGCTGCCCCCCATTTTCTGTGGCCGTTTGCGGTCCGGTACGCCGCGCATCAGCTCAACCTCTGGCCCCGTGTCTCCTTGCCGGAGACCTCGCCCACACTGCTGTGGACGGGGAAGGTTGGCGATGCGTCGCGTTTCCGGGTCTGGGGTGCTCGTGCCTTTGTCCGCGATACCACCGCGGACAAGCTCTCCGCCCGCGCTGTTCCCTGTGTCTTCCTTGGCTTTGTCCCTGACGCGCCTGGTTGGCAGTTTTACCACCCCACCTCGCGCCGTGTCTTTGCGTCTCAGGACGTCACGTTCGACGAGTCGGTTCCCTTTTACCGTCTCTTCCCCTACCGCACTGCCTCGCTCCCCCCCCCGCCGCTCTTCCTCGCTCCAGGTGCTCCCCAGGTAGACCCTCCTCCCTTGACTGCGCCGGTTGAGGTCACTGGTGACTCAGGTCCTACTGCGAGTGGTCCTGCTCGGGGTGCTACTTCTGGGGGTGCTGAGCCTGGGGGTGCGGAGCCTGGGGGTGCTGAGTCTGGGGGTACTGAGCCTGAGGGTGCGGAGCTTGAGGGTGTAGAGCCTGGTGGTGCTGAGCCTGAGTGTGAGGGGTCTGGGGGTGCTGAGCTTGGCGGTACTGACGCTGGAGGTTCTGGAGCTACTGAGGGTGCTGGCGCTGGAGGTTCAGGAGCTGCTGGAGGGCCTAGTCCTGGTGGCGCTGGAGCTGGAGGTTCTGGAGCTGTTGAGGGTGCTCGCGCTGGAGGTTCTGGAGCCGCTGGAGGTACTGGTGCTGAGGGTACTGACACCGGAGGTTCTGGAGCCGTTGGGGGTGCGGGCGCTGAGGGTTCTGAGTCTGCTGTTGCGCGGTCTCCTTGGAGTGGCCGCCTTCGTCCCCGTGTGCCTCTCACCCCACAGCAGCTGCAGGACTGGTACGGTCGCCGTCAGCGTCGCTCTCCTGGAGCTCGGAGTCGTGCTGGTCCTTTGTCTACTGGAGGTGCTGGAGTTGCTGGTTCTGGAGGGGCTCGTGCTGGAGACACTGAGGCTGGAGACCCTGGGACTGGAGGTGCTAGTTCTGGGGGTGCTGCTGCTGGAGACACTGAGGTTGGAGACCCTGGAGCTGGAGGTGCTGGTTCTGGGGGTGCTACTGCTGGAGACCCTGAGGTTGGAGACCCTGGGACTGGAGGTGCTGGTTCTGGGGGTGCTGCTGCTGGAGACACAGAGGTTGGAGACCCTGGGACTCGAGGTGTCGGCTCTGGGCCTGGAGCTTCTGGAGCTGCTGGAGGTACGGGAGCTGCTGGAGGTACTGGAGCTGCTGGAGGCACTGGAGCTGCTGGAGCTGCTGGTACTGGTGCAGCTGCGCCGACACGACTGTTCTTCGCTCCGCCGTCTCCGTCGTCTCTGCCGCCGTCTGCCTCTGTTCTTCGTCAGGTTCTTACTCTTCCGTCGTCTACTGGTCTTCCGTTACAGTCTGGCTCGCCGCTGCCTGCTCCTTCTCCTTACACTGAGCTGACTGGTAGTCCTGCTGAGCGTCGTGAGCCTGCGTCGCGTCCTGTCTCGCCTACTCGCCCTGGTCGTACCGGTCGTCGTGTTCCTCGTTCGCGTCCGCCGGCTGTCCCCAGCGCACACCTCGTAGTCCGTCGTCCTTCCTCTGTTCCGCAGCCTGTTCCTCTGCCGTCTCCTCCTGCGTCCTCTTTGCCTGACGTTCCGGACCCTGCGTCTGACCGGTTTCGTGCTCAGCACCCTACTGTCACGCGTCTACTAGCCACAGTTGTCACTGACCCGTCGTTTGAGTCTGCTGCTGCGTCTGCTCTTGTCGCTGAGCTTGTTGACTTTGCTGCTGCCTGTCGTCTAGACTTCACTGCCAGTCTTGTTACTGAGTCTGAGTCTGTCTGTCCTCCGTCCGTCGGGGGTGAGTGTGCTCTGATACCATGTTAGAATCTAGCAGCAGGAATGAGTGAACTAACAGGATGCAGGAGTACAAGTAGTAAACCCTAACTGGGTTGTACCCCATATGGGCTACCCCACTACAGCCTAGACAATATGCAGCACATATAGTTTGACAGGTACAGCACGTCAAATGTTGATGACGGACTGAAATCTTACCTTACCTAATAAACCCTGGAATTATGAGTAGTACCGAACCCTGGTTTAAGACTGGTCTATCCTTCTTATAAGGATAGTTTGCTACACCCAGTAGGAGGAACTGGTCTCTACGACACTTCACTGCAAGCCAAACGCGGGCTGGGTCAGAATTCATGTGAAACGGTGAAGCTGGTGAAGGGGGGCAACCTCTCCAGATTGCACCACATCGTACTCGACCGACTGTTATGAGCGAAAAGTCAACTCTGATCACCCACTGTCCGGATAAGTCGTCCATTTCATTCCCAATTGCAACACATTTTACTCCTTCGGTGGATTGCGGTCCCAAGCTAAAAACTCTCTCGGCCGTTCTTTACCGTGTGGACGATCATCGGACAGTGCGCCACACTCTTCCTCTCCATCCCAAAGCGTCTGTCAAACGACGATGGACGACCAGGGTCAGTCGCAGTGACGACGAATCAGGCGAACTCGGTCAACAGTAGTGTATGGTAGCGGGAATCCCAGGAACCCACCCTCCACCTTCCTGCCAACTAGTTACCATCGCCTAGGGAATGTCGGTGCTCCTTCGCTTCTGTCGTTAGGGCCTTGGGATGATCGCCTTTTCCCTGACAGTCTGACAGCTACCAGTTCCGTTCAGAAAATGTATAATGGGAAGGATGGCATCTTGAAACCCACTTCTCATCTCACAAAAAAACGGCAGCCTCACATTTCTGTCGGCGTTGGCAAATCAGTTGGCTTCCTTCTTGCCTGCAGTATCCTGTATTTTCTAAGTCTTCGTACCGGTTAAGGCCTACTAAATTGCGGAATCCGTGCTCGGAGGGACTTCGTGTCTTGCGTCCGTTATAGGATCTAATTCTGACCTTGGCTTAACGGCCGTCAGATCTCTTCGAGAATGGCTCCGACGTTGAGTTCTCGTTGTAGGGTGCTTACCGCGGTCCTCCTGGCTGCCGTCATTGTCGCGGATGCCAGCGCAAGCGACCATAGATATAGCCAAGGGGACAGCGTGCCTCTCTACGTGAACAAAGTCGGTCCCTTCAGCAACCCGAGGTGATGCCGTGTTTATGATTTGACGCCAAGTATTCTGTGTCTAGTGGCGACTGACGCTTGGTGGACGTTCGGAGAAGAACATTATTCAGAAGTTTGCTTTTGCTTCCGTTCTGACTCGCTACCTTTAGAATGTTCCGTGCTTCTTTTAGTTTATTTTTTACTTGTGGAGCTAACGTATGCACCTTCCGTGTTCACCGTTTTGGGCCCAAACTCGTTTTCCGCAGTGAAACATACAAGTTCTTCGATCTGCCGTTTTGCCAGCCAGGTTCGTTCAACAGCAAAGTTGCTCAGTCGTAGAATCCTGCAAGATTCTATAAATAATCGCTCAGCCTATGCTTGCGTTTCTGCACGTTCACTATTCCAACCTGCTCTTTCCAACTTCGCTGTTTCACTTCCATCCGCGGCCTTTCAACCCAGCGTCGTCGTTTCACTCTCGATCCGCTTCGTGTGTGTGTTCAGGGAAGTTCAACGAGAAGCATCAATCCCTCGGCGAAGTGCTGAACGGCGATCGAATGGTTGAGGTTCAGGCCCCCTACGACCTAAGATTCCGCGTAGATCACGAGCGTACGACGCTCTGCAAGCGCACGCTCGGCGTTAAGGACGTCCAGAAGTTCCGCAACGCGGTCCTGAACGACTACTATTTCCAGATGTACTACGACGATCTCCCGATCTGGGGTTTCATTGGCAGGGTTTACGTTGTCAGTGACACGTATGACAAGTTTGACAGTGACACGCATGACAAGTTTGACAGTGACACGCATGACACGGTTGACAGTGACACGCATGACACGGTTGACAGTGACACGCATGACACGGTTGACAGTGACACGCATGACACGGTTGACAGTGACACGCATGACACGGTTGACAGTGACACGCATGACACGAACCAGCACATTTCCATATTCACGCACATACACTTCGAGGTAGAGTATAACCACGACCGCGTGGTGGGAATATACGTGGCGAGTGGTGCGGATGGAATGGTGGTGGTGGACAATAGCGAGGATAAAGAGATGGAGGTGGAATTCACGTATTCCGTCTCGTGGACGCAGACGGATACGGCGTTTGAGAAGCGCATGGATAGGTACACGCGGTACGCGCTCCTTCCGCAGCATATGGAGAGACACTGGTTCTCGATCCTCAACTCGTGCTTCACAGTGCTGCTGCTCGCCGGCTTCATCGCGACCAGACTCACGCACGTCCTCAAGAGCGACTTAATCAGGTACGTTAAGGCAAATTTGCTAACACGATTTCGATTTCGATTTGCTTCTTCATCGATTTCGACCAGTACTTAACACAATTTCATCTATTCTTTTTCGAATCTGCCGTTCTTTTTCAAATCTGCCATTTCGCTCTTTCGACAACCCTTCTTTCATTGCAGTAGGACAGTCAAGAGGTGCGATTTTGTCGTTTCCTGTGTTGATACCCGATGATTCGATGGTGTATGGGTGTTGATGCAAGAGGGTGGCAAACGGTGTGATTAAGACAGTGTTGCTGTAGCATGTCTTACGACATCTTGCAATTATGTTTTTTGCGTTATTCAGGTACACGCATGGCTCAGAGTCGTTAGTAGAGCCGGAGGAGGCTGGGTGGAAGTCCATCCATGCCGACGTGTTCCGCTTCCCGGAAAACAAGGAGCTTTTCTGCGCCATTCTTGGCAGCGGCACTCAATTGCTCTTCCTGTGAGTTTGGTTACCTTTATACTAGTACACTCCTGCTGAACAGTGCGATTCTACTTTGGTTTGGTTCGTTTCATATTCTATCCATGATGACAGTATGCACGCAATGCATACCTCGTGAGAATCTTAAAGCCGCTCCTCCTTGATTTTGTCAAGCCCCACATTCGTGTCTATTTCCGTGCTTGCTCTCTGTCTGTCAGGGTCCTTTTCATGTTTATTCTCACTCTCGTGGGGGTGTTATACCCTGACAATCACGGTGCTTCGTGGACGGCTCTGGTGGTGATTTATGCTCTGACCTCTGGAATCGCTGGGTATGCATCTGCGTCGTTCTACAAGCAGATGGAGGGGACCAACTGGGTGAGTGCAATGCAGTGGGTGCAATGCAGTGGGTGCGATGCAGTGGGTGCAATGCAGTTAGTGTGAGTGCATTGCAATAAAAGAGAAACCCCGCAATGCGTTTTCACTCAAAAGAGAATCATTTCCTGTCTGTAAGCCTCTTCAAGCTCCTAAGCGATCTGATCCGCTTATTCTGTTCCCCACCCGCCTTTCACCACCCCCTCTACCCTCCTACCCTCCGATTCCCTTCCCTCCCCTTCCCGTCCCCCTCCCATCCCCCCACCCTTTCCTCCATCCACCCCCCTTTTCAGACGCACAACATTGTGCTAACAGGGTGCATGTTCGGCGGGCCGGTGGTCATCTCCTTCTGCTGCCTCAACACCATCGCTGCTGTCAACAACTCCACCAACGCCAAGCCCCTCACCACCATCCTCACCCTCACCCTCATCTTTGCACTCATTGCCTTACCCCTCCTCGTGGCCGGCGGCATTGCCGGCAAGAAAAGCACTGCTGCAGAGTTCCTAGCACCTTGCCGGCATTCCCAAACCTCAAATTCCCCGAGGGCGATTCCCGTGCTGCCCTGGTACCGGCATGCAGCCCCTCAGATGGCCTTGGCTGGGTTTCTGCCGTTAAGCGCAATTTTCTTCGAGCTGTATTATATTTGTGTGGATTGGTGGGGGTATAAGGCCTACATTGTCTACAGCATCCTCTTTATAGTGTTCATCAATTTCATCGTCGTGACGGCGCTCATGGCGATTGTTCTCACGTACTACCAGCTTGCAGCGGGGGACCACGAGTGGTGGTGGAGGTACGATAGCTTCACCCCTCAACCCTTCAACCTCTCAATCCCTCAACCCCTCAGCCTCTCAACCCCTCAACACACAGACACACACACACACACACACGCACACACACACACACACACACACACACACACACACACACACACACACACACACACACACACACACACCTGACCTTCATCCTAGAGTGAGCTCTACCGCCCTCCCTCTTCATCTTTGGGCCCCCATTCCCTTCCTATCGCACTTAGCTTCTACTGCCACTACTCTCAAGTCCCCATTCCCTTTCTAACTGCTCCGCTGTCCGTCTCCACTTGTCCCATCCGCTCAGGTCGGTGCTGTGCGGTGGCTCCCCCGCGCTCTTCATATTCGGCTACTGCTGCTACTACTACCACGCGCACTCCGACATGACCGGATTCATGCAGGCGTCTTTCTACTTTGTATTGATGGCGTGTGTCTGCTACGGCCTCTCCCTCATGCTCGGCACTGTGGGCTTCTGTGCCTCGCTGGCCCTTGTGCGCCGCCTCTACCGCTCCATCCAGTGCGAGTAAGTGCTTCTTAGGGGAGAAGGGAAGGGAGGGGGGAAGAGGCGTCCCTCTACTTTGTCTTAATGGCCTGTGTCTGCTGCGGTCTCTCCCTCATGCTCGGCGCTGTCGGCTTCTGTGCCTCGCTGTGCCTTGTGCGCCGCCTCTACCGCTCCATCCAGTGCGAGTAAGTGCTTCTTAGGGGAGGATCGGGAGGGGGGCGGGGGGGAAGGAGGAGGGGGGGGTTGGGGTGGGAGGAGGGGAGGGGGGGGTGTGGAGGGGGAGGGGGAGGGGGAGGGGGAGGGAGAGGAGGAAGATGAGGAGGGATGGTGGGGGGGGCGCAGGTGGTTTGAGCAGACTGTGATGGATACTCTTGACACGTGTTGCAATGTGATTGGTGCAGATTCACTGGCACGGAAGGTGTAACTCTCCCATTACTCCCTAGTGAAGGTGAGATTACTGAACCCTCTCTTGCATGTCATGGCTTGGATAAGCATAACCATGGTTTGGATATGTGTCACCTTGGCTTGAATGTGTGTCAACTTAGCTTGAATATGTTTCACCTTGGCTTGAATATGTGTCACCTTGGCTTGAATATGTGTCACCTTGGCTTGAATATGTGTCACCTTGGCTTGAATATGTGTCACCTTGGCTTGAATATGTGTCACCTTGGCTTGAATATATGTCACCTACGTAAGCGTCATCATGGCTTCGACAAGAATCACCATGGCTTGGATAACTGTCACTAGAGTACCATGTTTGCTAGTTCACTGACAAAGCTTCATGGTCAGTGATTTTCTTTACACAACCCGCTTGAAATGCCTTCAACTTACAGGAAACAAATGTGTGTCCTTGCCCAACCTGCAGGTCTGGTCCGGGCCTCTGTCTAAGGGTCGGCAAGTAGTGGCATTGGTGAATCGTGTGCAGGGAACGAGAATGTGACTGTCAGCGGGAAATCAATCGGGCTGCTTCCGGTGCAGCAGATGTTTGTGCGAAACCTAAAGGAGGTGAGGGATTGTGCTGCATGACATTTATTTTCATCTTCTCGCTCTCTATCGCACTTCCTTTGTTTCTTTGAGATGCAGAGGATGTCTGCTTGAGACCTCTGGGGAGTGTGTGTACCTCTCACAGTGTCTTTCTCATCTGCCCCCCCCCACCAGCGTCACCCCACTCTTCCTCGCTCTCATGCCTCTCATTCGCCAACTTCCCCCTTCGTTTCAAAGTCTTACTTGTGTTTCAAACCTTCCCAATCTCGTTGTTTCACTCACCTTCGCTGTCCCCCTTCCCCCCCCTTCCAAATGACGTGTGTGTGCGTAAACACATGCACACATACATGCAGGCACTTACTAATTCACACACAACCATCACGATCTTTCTTCTCATGTATCTGCTCTGCTCCCCGTGTTGCTTGTTCTGTGGTGCAGAAATCCACCTTGAATTCATGTCCCTGGAGAGCCGAGTGCTTGTGCTGTGAGCCATGACCTGTGACTATTCTCTGGCCTGTACCAGATGCCCAATTAATGTAATACGGCCCGTAACATAAGCCTTACACTTTTTTTTTTGGGCAGACCAGATGTGTAACCCAGCTGAAGTTGGGCTGTTACTGCATCTTCTCAAATTATCTGTGTGGTGGATATTTCTTTGTAGGTAGCGCGTGTATCGTATTCTTATTATGTTCAATCTTCGTTTCGGGACGGTTATTGTTGAAATATTTTATTTCGGGGATGGATTATCTCATGGTGACGTGGAGCTTATGTCACAGAATGGTTTTCACACCTCAGCTACGGCTGGGACAGAATTCTAATTCGAGGAGGATGAATCCGTATTTGCAGAGAACGCTCAGCTATTGTTTCAGCTGCAGATTGCAGCGACTGTACTCGACAAAACGGCTTCTGCTTCCGCGGTACATTCTAAGGGCGGGGGCAGCGCGTTCATTTTCGCCACTTTTCCAGAATTTGGACGCCCGTCGAATCTGGAAGATACTGTAGCATTTTTGTACCGCGCTTAGTTTGTGTCCCAGGTGGGACACGCGCGTCCAAAATTACGCACAGGTCTTGCCACACTTTTGCCTAACCGCCCACCCAATGAGGTAACCCTGTGCGACAGAGTTCTGGTTGTGTTTGTGAACCCCTGAATTTGCGAGGGTCGTACGCGCTTGACGAAGTCGTGACGCGGTTTCGCTGACCTGCACACAAGCATTCTCGAATGATGCGCGGGTTGTTCGCGGCCGTCGTGGGTACGTGTTTTGTTCGGTTGACGGCACGGAAAACAGCCACCGTTCATCCACTGTATGTTCTGTCGTGTCCACATGTTACCCTAAATCAGGGTTACAAACCGCTGAATCTGGTAACTGTTTCGGGCTAAGCCAGGAAAATGAACGCGCTGCCCCCGCCCTAAACAAGGGGTGTACATTGTTCCCTTGCCAAATCTGCGTTCCCGAAATACGACCTACAACCTCCGTCAGTTCAGGCCCCACCCACCCCTCATGCCCTCCATAAACCTCTTTGTTGGGGATATCCGTCGATTTCAGCCGATCGACGGCGTCGAATCACCCTTCAAAATCTGGCTCGATTTTCCCAAGGACTGTCAAACCAAACCAAGAGATCATTCACCCACAAGCGACTTCCGTCCCAGTCCTCCACGTCGTCTGAAAGTCCACACGAATATGTAGACGGGAGAAGTTGAATAGACAGCCGAGCAAGCAGGAACACTTGACACCCCAACAGCCGTTCGCTGTGTGTGCATCAGCTGAGAGTTCGCCACATTACTTGGAATGCCCAACACTGGGATTTCAAAACCAGAGAAATTCAGCAATCTTTACATACTTTAGAGTTTGAGGGATCTTGAACGCCTCGAGAGAGGCTAGTGACTGAATGCGACGCGTAGCGGTTCTTAGCTCCCTCATTCGCTCCAATTACTAATCAAAGCCACCCGTTCAGTCATTGACTGGAGTTTAACAGCGAGTTTCTGAGTTTGATGTTTTCCTCGACACGCATTTCGGCTTCTCGTGTCAACGCAATGTCCGACCGAAAGATGGAGGCCTCGTTCTTGTCGATGTGCTTCTGTCTCGCTATAATCTTCCATCAAGCTTCGGCTATTAGCGAAGGCGCATCCGTTTCGACCACTCTGAGCCTTGGACGGAAAGAGAAGCTCGACTTTTCTGGAATCGTGCATCGAGATCGAAAGTTCTCGCGAACTCCGCCACTCGGGTAACCATACAGCTCAAATCACCAACGCACCTGAATGTCTTCATCACTCTCACGGAACGGGTTATACACGAATGATACTTGACATCTGTTCCTCCTGAACCATTGGAACATTGGACGCAGCTCATGCTGTCCAAACTTTTCCGTCGTATACTTAAGCTAAGCTTATCTAAGCTGTTACATCCGTTTCTGTACTACAATGTCCGTGTGAGATGATGTGGCAGATGAAATTAGGATAACGCTGGTAGTAAGATGTCGTCTCCATGTGTCACTGTTTTGCAGATGGAACAGCTGGAACCACTTCCAGTGCAATGTTACCGAACACATTGTGAAAGCTGCAGGTAAGGGCTCTCATCATGCTCTTTCTGCGTTAAATATTGCAATATCTCGTTTGTTTTCTCCGTGGTGTAGCTACATGATTGTCGACGAAGCTACCTGCGACAGTTTTAACCTCTTCACCTTCCATCTCGCGGTTGATTTCCAGCTGAAGCACATGGAACGCTTCCTTATCAACCATTCTTTTCAGCAAGTCTTACCAGTTCTCACATCCTCTCTAATAATTCTGTCTTGCAGCGGACAAGCTCGTGTCATCTGGGTTAGCAGCCCTTGGATACGTCTATGTCAACATAGGTGAATCACATCATCCCTCGTCCATCCTGCTTTTATTGAATTCGTGAACGTCACGTTGCTGTGCATGTTGCTTCAGCCGCGTTTATGTGTTTTTTTTCGAACAAAATGAATACACCGTATACCTGAGACGTTTCCACTCTTTCCCCTTACTGTTTCGCTTGTCATGTATAAGATCGCCATCTTGTAACTATGTCTGAATTCTGTCTGCCTTCGCAGATGATTGCTGGCAAGCTAACTCCCGAGATTCAGAGGTGGGTGAACACATTGACAACCATTCAGTGACATTCTCGAAGTGAATAAAGTGCAGGCTCTACCAAAGTTTTTATGTTGCAACCTTAGAGCAGAGCTGCAATGGAAACATCCACCTAATGTAGAGCACTTGGGATTGAACGAACATGGAAGCGGTCACCAGCTAAGGCATCGGTCTTGATTGAGCTACGTTCTTCTGCCATTTGTCACTCCGCTGTTCAGGGTCGCCTGGCGGCCTCTCCTCGCTTCTTCCCCTCTGGCATCAAGGCACTCGCGGACTATGTGCACAGCAAGGGGCTCAAGCTGGGCATCTACTCCGATTCCGGGTGAGGGAGCAGCGGGGATGTGTGGGCTTGGTGGATGATATGGGGGAAAACATAAGGGAAGAAAAAGGTCTTGCAGATTATGGCACAGCAAGGGGCTCAAGCTGGGCATGGCATTTACTCTGATTCCGGGTGAGCCCGTGTATAGAGCTGAGCAAAGGACGGGCAAGGTAGGGACGACTTAGGTGGGTCATCTGACGAATTTTCAATCAATTCACATTCAAACCTTTGTCCCGACGTCCTGTGACAAGCCGTCAGTGTACACGTTTACTTTATGAGTCGACTCCCTACTTCCCGCATCCCACTCCTCCCGACCCTCTCTTATCAGGAGGCTTACGTGTGAAGGCATGCCAGGGTCGCTGGGACATGAGACGATTGACGCTCAAACTTTTGCTGAATGGGTGAGGCATGAGGCTGGGATGAGGCTCTGGTTGGGTGAGGAAGGCGGTTGGGTGAGGCATGAGGCTATGACGGAACACTGGCTAGGAGAGGCACTAGATTGGGTGAGGCACGAAACTGAGTGAAGCACGAGGTTGGGTGAGGCACGAGGCTCTGTGAGGCATTTGGTTGGGTGAGGCACGAAGCTCGGTGAGGCATGAGGTTGGATCGGGCTATTACAGCTGGTTGTATTGTTCCTGGTTCTAACAGAGCATGTCCCTGGATATTCACATCCGCCTGCCACAATTCTGGTGCTTGAAATCTCACGTTTTCATGCATGCTGTGCCTGCTCACTGGCCCATGCAATGCTCTGCCTGCGATGCTGTGCCTGCTCACTGGCCATGTGATGCCATGCCAGGAAGTGGACTACCTCAAGTATGACAACTGCTTCAACGATGGCACTCCAAACAAGATACGGTGTGTGTTCTACTATCCTTCGGCCCCGCCCCTGTTGGCCTTTTACACCGAAGTTACCATTGCTCGTCTTTGTCCCTTTTACTCCTATCCGCTTTCAACTCCGCTGTTGTCATTTCTCGTCCAGAAAATCAATCTGATCTGGCTTCATCCTTCTCTCTTTCCCTCCCACCCTCTTCCCCAAATTCCCTTCCTCACCCTCTGCTTGATGCCTGTCAATCAAATCCCTGAACCAAACAACAAAGCCCCCCATGCCTCCCACTGCCATCAGCTACACAACCATGCGCAATGCATTGGAGGCCACTGGGAGGGACATATTCTTCTCCATGTGCGAATGGTGAGCCCATAGAACCCCTCTTAGACCCCTGCCTGTGTGGATGGTGCGCGGATGCGACCCCACTTAGTCTCCTGCCCGTGCGAATGGTGCAGGCATACTTTCATGCAGTCAGGCTGCTGTGTTGGTTATGCATGCCCTCAGCAGCTACAGTGACTGTCTTTGCCTGCACCCACCTAATAGCAAGGACCGTCTGTGTGTGGCTTGCCTTGTAATGCCACGTGTCGCCTGCCCATCCTGCCACGTGTGCTTCAGGGGGCAAGACGACCCTTCCCTGTGGGCGTATGACGTGGCAGACTCGTGGCGCACCACTGTGGACATTGGGGACTCGTGGAGGAGGTGAGCAGGGAGGAGGTACACGTGGATGAAGGGAGGAATGACACGTGGACGAAGGGAGGAGTGACAGGTGGATGAAGGGAGGAGGGACACGTGGATGAAGGGAGGAGGGACACGTGGATGAAGGGAGAGGGGCATGTGGTTAACGGGAGGGACTCGTGATGAATGGAGGAGGAAGGACTTGTGAAGAATGAGGAGAAAGTTAGTGGATAAGGATACAGAGGAAGAAGGAACACTGGTGAGGGGATGTATAAGGGAAACGGCAGGGAGGGGTGAGTAAGAGGGAATAGCACAGAAGGGAGAGTAGAGATTGGGGGAAAGAGGAAGGGAGGAAGAAAAGGTGACTCGCATTCATGGTAATGCACTCGTAATGCCTCCAACTTTCAACCTATGTGCACTTAACCTGCTCCCTCCCTCTCTCCCTCCCTCCCTCCCTCCCTCCCTTCCTCCCTCCCTCCCTCCCTCCCTCCCTCCCTCCCTCCCTCCCTCCCTCCCTCCCACCCTTCCTCCCTCCCTCCCTCCCTCCCTCCCTCCCTCCCTCTCTCCTACCCTCCCTCCCTCCCTGCGTGCTCGTGGCACATGCAGCATGATGCGCATTGCAGACAAGAACAACAAGTGGGCCAAATACGCCAAGCCAGGCGGCTGGAACGGTGCGTACCAGTGGGGCCCCTAAAAGAGGCAAGGCCAGACCAGACGTATTATAGGACGCACGGGGTAAACTTGTCAAAGGCATAGCAGCCCTGTGAAAAGCCTGGGTTCGGAGGTGTGAGGGTAAGCTATCCAGGTTACATATTCAAATGCTGTTCTCCTCACCTGATACCCTGTTCTCCTCACCTGTTACTCTGTTCTCCTCACCTGTTACTCTGTTCTCCTCACCTGATACCCTGTTCTCCTCACCTGATACCCTGTTCTCCTCACCTGGTACTCTGTTCTCCTCACCTGGTACTCTGCTCTCCTCACCTGGTACTCTGTTCTCCTCACCTGTTACTCTGTTCTCCTCACCTGATACCCTGTTCTCCTCACCTGGTACTCTGTTCTCCTCACCTGGTACTCTGTTCTCCTCACCTGTTACTCTGTTCTCCTCACCTGTTACTCTGTTCTCCTCACCTGATACCCTGTTCTCCTCACCTGATACCCTGTTCTCCTTACCTGATACCCTGTTCTCCTACTGGCACTCGTGTGGGAAACCCTTGAGAAGTCTTAAAGGCATCAAAGCAGTTTGTTTTTCAGTTTTCAGAGTTTTCCCACCTTGACTTGACCCACCTCTCCCACACAATCAGACCCGGACATGCTGCAGGTGGGGAATGGTGGCATGAGGCAATCAGAGTATCGTGTGCACTTCAGCCTCTGGGCCATCATGAAGGTGAGGACACGTGTGCAAGCATGTATCAGGTGTCAACACCCCCCCCCCCCCCCCCCCCCCCCACACACACACACACATGCAAAGGGCTAGCTTGTAAGCTTTGCACTTCTGTAAGTCGGCAGTTTCATTCAATCGACATGTTCAGAAAAGTTGGTTTGAAATCATGTTTCTAGACAAACCCTTCAAGGTCTGAACCTTTCTAATTTGGAAACAGAAGCCCCAACCCTGTCTTTTGTAACCTCAAGCTTAAAACTCAACCTCTAAACTCAAGCTTTAGACTTAGATTCTACTACTTGAAGTTCTCGTCTCAATTGTTTTTTCCAAGTTTCCAGCAAAGCTCTCCCCCTTTATCTTCACATCCTTCCACCAGGCGCCTCTCCTGATCGGCTGCGATCTCTCGGTTGTTTCAAACAAGACGCTGGCTATTCTGGGCAACGAGGAAGTCATTGCTCTCAACCAGGGTACGTTCTCTTTCCATTCTCAGAAGTTACTCAAATAATTGACGGTTGTATCAAATAGGACACTGGCCATTCTGGGCAATGAGGAGGTCGTTGCTCTCAACCAGGGTACGCTCTCCTGCTGTTGTGTGCACATGCTGTTGCATCACTCATTGAATGCAGCTTATTTGATGCCTGGTGATGATACCCCACCTTTATCCAACAATGATTTCACCTGCGTGTTCATGTACTTGCTCACACGTGTCACATTGTGATTGGTGCAGACCCTCTGGGCGTTCAGGCAAGGAAGGTGCAAGTCTCTGAAGACTCGCTGATGGAGGTGAGTGAATTAAATCAGGTAGCATCACATTTGATCAAGTCAGGTCAAAGCAAATCAAATAAAATCAGATCAGATCATAGAACCTTGCTTGTATCAACTAACTGGGCTCGGATGGGGCACCTAATCTGAAATCGTCACGTGCTTGTTTCTCTCTGTGAAACACCTTGCATTGCAAGTAACTGGCAGTTGTTTTAGCCACTTAATACATCACGCTTTCTTTGCCCTCTCCCCATGCGGCCTGGTCTGGTCTTTGAACCTGCAGGTTTGGTCCGGGCCTCTGTCGGAGGGTCGGCAGGTGGTAGCCCTGGTGAATCGCAGCCCAATCAGCTTGAAGATCACTGCCCATTGGAAAGCCATGGGGCTGAACCCGGTGCAGCGCATGTATGCACGAGACCTGTGGAAGGTGCGTGACTCCATATGAGCTGTTAAAGGCGCCTCAAAAATCACTGCCGGTGGAAAGCCATGGGGCTGAACCCGGTGCAGCGGATGTATGCACGAGACCTGTGGAAGGTGCGTGACTGGGTTGCAGGCTATGCTTTGTTCAATCACGCATACATCCGGTGTAGGGGATGTATGCACGAGACCTGTGGAAGGTACGTGTCTCCATTCTAGCTGTTTTGAGAATGCTCGAGTCATTTTTTAGAATTTTTGAAAGTGCACCTTGTGTGTACAGGCGGGTCATGGGCACTTGCATGTGCACGCGTGCGGCGCGTGCGCACCCACTCATACACACACGCACACACTCATACGCACACACACACACACACACACACTCACACACACACTAGCGTGCGCGCGTGCTCACACACACACACACACACACACACACACACACGTTATTTTGTCTTGGTGCCTTCCCATGCTGCATCTCCCACACACTGCAGAAGGCAACCATGGACTCGGTCATCTCAGGGCAGCTGAGCGCACAAGTTGCAAGCCACGATGTTGCGCTCTTCCTCCTCTGGCCTGCGGTGTAAACTCTCATATTCAGCGTTCAACTCAAGTGCAATGCAAAGTAACGTGCTCTTCCTCCGCGCAGTGTAAACTCTTCTCGTGTCCAGTTCAGTGTCGAACTCGTGCAATGCAAGCCAACATGCACTTTCTCCTCCAGCTCGAAATGTAAGCTCAGGGGTGTTGACTGTTCATATAACATGCAACGCAAGCCATTATTTGGGGCTCTTCCTCCTCTGACATGCGGTGTAGTTTCTTGTGGCATTGGATGTATAACTGTAATGCATTGCAAGCCATTATTCCAACTGACATCAATGCAAGCAATTACCATGTGGGACTCTTCCTCATCTGGCCTGCAAGTTGCATTCAAACTTCCTCCGACTTAAGTGCGATGCGAGCCATTTTGTTAGGCGCTTTCTCTGGCTTGCGCTGTGGAATGTTGTGGTGGTTTAACACACAATGGCCTTACAACTCATTCTGTATACGCTGTTTCGAACTTCACCTGCAACCAGTGAAATCGCCCTATATAGTTTTTTTTTTCCCTGTGAATAATACACTAAAAGAAAAGCACAATATATCGGCCAACGTAACCCTATATAGTGAACGTTAGTGTGATCTGGTTACAGTACTCGACGTTGAAGCCCTTCGTCACCATTCGCCAATCACAACCTGCCAACCAGACTGACGAGTCGTCCATGTTCGCCACTTGGTTTGTGTGGAGGGAACTGGTTTGCACGGGATTCCAAACCAAACCTAAATCTGCCCAAACGCTCTCTGTTCTCCCAGACTTGGGGAACCGAGCGAAGGGACCAGGTATGAGATTCTGTGAGGAGCAGTTGAGCCGTTCGATTTCCAGTTCGGAACTTACGAGACTCTCTGCGCCTCCAGATCTGCTTGTTTGTTCCTCCAACTTTCGAGACTGGAAGGAAGCATGCTGCCCTCGATTGGCCAGCACAAGCTATCACTACCGTCCATTTCCGCCCAGAATCCCGAGCCACCTGAAACACCCCGCAACAGATTTGTCGCGACCTCTGCCGGAATTAGTAACCTGATAACATATGTCGCAACAGAACGAAGAGACAAATTTGCGGCATCAACATCTTCGCATTGTACTGTTTTTCTTTCGCTCAACAACACTCTCGAGATCTCCTCCCACCCCACCACCACCTCCACGACTTTCATGGCCGCCTTCCTCCATCTGTCCCCCACACCACTAGCTCTTTGCCAGCTTCAGCACCATCCTCCCCTGCTGGACCCTGCTTGTCTGCTTTTGCCGTTTTACCTACACAGTACGACTCTTCTTCTCTAGCGAAGCGTGTGTCACTAGCCTAAATTTGAGCGATCAGTCTCTCGCTACCCTCCTTGCCGCTTCTGGTTAGTAAGTTGCCGTATAGTGCCCGTTTTGGTGTCTTATCACGATTGTTGCGAAGTCAATTAGAAGCATATCCCGATACTTTCCTGTGATCAGGCCATCGGGATTCCCGCCTTTTTTCCCCAGCGAATTTGTCCCCAGCAGCACCTATCTGGCAACGTCCAGCAGCAGTTAACGTCCAGCAGCAGTTAACGTCCAGCAGAAGTTAACGTCCAGCAGCAGTGTACGTCCAGCAGCAGTTAACGTCCAGCCGCATCGTTCCCAACAATGGGTGATCAACGAAGCCGCCGCTCACGCATCGCACTCCTTCCCCTCGTACTGTAGGGTTCTGTCCAGAGAGTCTGTTTCGCTTAGAAAAACGGACAGTTTCAATCAATTCGCGGAACATACCCGCTTCTCACACGTCCCTAGGGCTCGCGCGTTGACTTGCGAAGCAATTACTCACCTCAACAATCGCCTTCCTGTTCTCTCAGGAGTTGCCTCGACGTTCTAGCCATGCGAAACCTAAATCGCTGTCCGCCTATCTGACAGTCAAGCTGGCGTCGCCGTGTTTCCCGGATCATGAGTCCGGGCTTGCCGCTTGCTGATCCGCACGTTGGCGGCGGCGGCGGCAGCAGCTGCGGTGTAGGAAACGGCGGCGGTCCCGCGGGTCGCGCCGCGATTCCCGGCGCAATTCCCGGCGTAGGAAACGGCGGTTTTGGTGCGGAAGCAGCCGCTCTGGAGCAGCACGACGGGAGTCAAGCAGCGGCTGCGGCGGCTGCTGCTGCGGCTGCTGCCGCTGCGGCGGCGGCGGCGGCTGGGGGATGGATGTTGCTCCCTTCAGCCGGTTCTCTTCATAATCACCCCGCGTTATTATCACCTGCTGCAGCGTCCGTGCAGCACAATCACCTGCTCGCCTCGTTAAAGTCAATCGCCGGAATTCCTGGAATCTCGCCAGTCGGCGCATCGTCCCCTTACGCTGGTAACGCCGCGGCGTTACTTCCGTTTCTACCCCCCGGTGCTCATCATCCAATCAGCAACCTCCACATCAGCGGCGGCGCGCAAGGGTTGAATCATAGCGCGTTAGGTAACCCACTATTTGCGTCGTTAGGAGGCTCTAGTGCTTCGACTGCATCTGGACAGGCTTTAATTCCCATGCAAGCCCCTGTCATGCCCACGCACCCCGGTTTCCCGAGCAACGGTTTCGTCTCGTCTCACTTCGACCCTGCTGCCGCCGCTGCCGCCGCCGCAGCCGCCGCCGCCGCCGCCGCCGCCGCAGCAGCGACATACCCGCAGCCAGTTTCCGCGTCGCTCCCGGTCGGAGGGGCCGTTTCCGCCGCCGCCGCTAACGGCGCAGGCGGTTTGATCCCTTCTGCCGCCATCCCCGCGCCTGCCACCGCCGCGTCCGCCGCCGCCGCCGCCGCAGCCGCAGCCGCGGCGGCAGGACGGCTTAGTGCGGTCAAGGATCCGTTAGGGTATGCGGCTATGCTTAGGTCCCGGGGGAAAGTTAACGAAGCGCTCGCTATATACGAGGCGATTATAGCGGAGAGATTAGGTGCAGCGGTGACTATGACGAGGGGGAATGTAGCGGGTAGCGGCGCAGGGACATTAGGAGGGGCCGCGGGCGCGGGGGAAGGGGGAGGGGGAGGGGGGGCGGGAGGGGGAGGGGCAGGCGGGGCCGCGGCGGCGGCAACCGCGGAGGCGCTAGTGGGGAAGGGGCAGTGCTTGCAGGCGCAGGGGAAGCTTAGCGCGGCGTTTGAGGCGTACGTGTCCGCGTTACAGCTGAATCCGACACACGCTGTAGCGCTGACGCAGTGCGGAGTGCTGTATAAAGAGGAAGGGCACTTGTTAGAAGCTATCGAGGTGCGTGGGGGGAGGGGGAGGAAGGGGAGGAAGGGGAAAGAGGAGCGGGGGGAGGTGGGGGGAGAGGTGTTGGGGTGGTGGTTGAGGTGACTGGGGGGATGAGGAGGGGAATGGAGAGGCCACTGAGTTGATTGGCTGAGAGGGAAGAGGGGGGGAGAGGGGAAAGGGAGAGGTCTTCTAGGTAAGTGGTTGAGGAGGGGAACGAGGGTGGGTGGGGGGGGGTGAGGGACGGGAGAGGTGTTGGGGAGGGAGAGGAGGGGGAGAAGAGAGGGGAGGGAGTGGTGGGGGAGTGGGGGAGAGGATGGGCGAGAAATCGGGAGGGAGAGGAGGGGAAGAGAAGGAGCGGAGGGAATTGTGGGGAGAGGAAGGGGAGCGGAACGGGGGGGGGAGTGGTGGGGATGGATAGGAGGGGGAGGGGAGGGGGAGAGGAGGGGGAGAGGAGGGGAAGAGGAGGGACAGAGGAGGGGGAGAGGAGGGGGAGAGAAGGGACAGAGGAGGGACAGAGGACGGGGAGAGGAGGGGGAGAGGAGGGGGAGAGGAGGGGGAGAGGATAAATGGAGGAGAGTCGGGGGAGAGGAGGGGGAGAGGATAAATGGAGGAGAGTCGGGGGAGAGGAGGGGGAGAGGATAAATGGAGGAGAGTCGGGGGAGAGGAGGGGGAGAGGATAAATGGAGGAGAGTCGGGGGAGAGGAGGGGGAGAGGATAAATGGAGGAGAGTCGGGGGAGAGGAGGGGGAGAGGATAAATGGAGGAGAGTCGGGGGAGAGGAGGGGGAGAGGATAAATGGAGGAGAGTCGGGGGAGAGGAGGGGGAGAGGATAAATGGAGGAGAGTCGGGGGAGAGGAGGGGGAGAGGATAAATGGAGGAGAGTCGGGGAAGAGGAGGGGGGTGAGGATAAATGGAGGAGAGTCGGGGGAGAGGAGGGGGAGAGGATAAATGGAGGAGAGTCGGGGGAGAGGAGGGGAGAGGATAAATGGAGGAGAGTCGGGGGAGAGGAGGGGGAGAGGATAAATGGAGGAGAGTCGGGGGAGAGGAGGGGGAGAGGATAAATGGAGGAGAGTCGGGGGAGAGGAGGGGGAGAGGATAAATGGAGGAGAGTCGGGGGAGAGGAGGGGGAGAGGAGGGGGAGAGGAGGGGGAGAGGAGGGGGAGAGGAGGGGGAGAGGAGGGGGAGAGGATAAATGGAGGAGAGTCGGGGGAGAGGGCGGTGGTGCTGACAGACCTGGGCACGTGCCTCAAGCTGGGGGGTCCGTGCAGGAGGGCATAGCAAAATTATGAGGCCATTGCTGCTGGCAGTGGTGCTCGCTCACAGACCTGGGCACGCGCCTCAAGCTGGAAGGCAGCCTGCTGCTCCTGCTCTTCTCTTGATGCTCCCACCCCTTTCCTCTCATTTCCGCCGTGATTTTCCTTAATTCCCCCCCCACCATTCGCCCCCCAGGCGTACATGAAGGCGTTAGAAGCGGATTCGGGGTGCAAGGAGGCACAGGAGCAGATGGCAGTGGTGCTGAGCTCACAGACCTGGGCACGCACTGACCCCTCTTTCCCCCCATTCCCGCCGCCCCTTCCCTTTCCCCTCGTCTTTCCCCCCTTCTGCTGCCTTACCCATTGTCACCCCATCCCTCTCTCCCCTGTCCCTCATCTCCCCCAGGCATACAGGAAGGCGCTAGAAGCCGATCCAGCGTGCAAGGAGGCACAGGAGCAGCTAGCCGTGGTGCTCACAGACCTGGGCACGCGCCTCAAGCTGGGGGGGTCGGTGCAGGAGGGCATAGCGAAATATTATGAGGCCATTGCTGCGGATCAAAGATACGCGGTAAGATGCGGTTGAGCGCGGTGGTATGCGGTGTCAAACGGTGGTAAGGCGGCACAGGAGCGCAGCTGGCAGTGGTGCTCACAGACCTGGGCACGCGCCTCAAGCTGGGGGGAAGGGATTGCCAAGTATTATGAGGCTATTGCTGCTGACCAGAGATATGCGGTGAGATGCGGTTCAGTGCGGTAGTATGCGGTGGGAAACGGTGGTAATGGGGTAAATGAGCAGATGGCGATGGTGCTCACAGACCTGGGCACACTCCTCAAGCTGGGGGGATCGGTGCAGGAGGGGATTGCCAAGTATTATGAGGCCATTGCTGCTGGCCAGAGATATGCGGTGAGATGCGGTTAACTGCGGTGATACGAGGTGGTTTACGGTGGCGCATTGGCATGGGGTGGTGAGGCATTTTGAGGAGTGGCGTGGCTCACGTGGGGGAATCAGTGCAGGATGGCATTGCCAAGTACTAGGAGGCCGTATTGCTGCTGACCAGAGACATACGGTGAGATGCGGTTCACTGCGGTGATATGCGGTGGTATGGGGTGGTGTGCTGTAAGGCGTTTCAGTCAACGCCTTAAGCTGGGGGGGTCCGTGCAGGAGGGGATAGCCAAGTATTAGGAGGCTACTACTGCTGCTGGCCAGAGATACGCGGTAATATGCGGTTTAGTGCGGTGGATGCGGTGCAATGCGGTGGTAGAACAATTAATCTGGGGATGGTGTTTTGGAAGTGGGGCAGTGCGAGGCTAGGAGTGGATGTGTAGCGTTGAATCATCCTACACCCTTGCCTGCCACTCCTACCCCCCACACCTCCTCCTTCCTTCTGAATCCCTTTCTGTCCCCCCAGTCTCTTCCTCCACCCCCTCATCCAGCTGCCATACTACAATCTAGGGGTGGTGTATTCGAAGATGGGGCAGTACGAGGCAAGGCGGGGAGTGAATGTATGTTAAATGCTCTATTCCCCCCCCCCTCCTTTTTCCTCTCCCCAGCCGGCATACTACAATCTAGGGTGGTGTATTCGGAAATGGGGCAGTACGAGCCAAGGCGGGGAGTGAATGTATGTTAAATGCTCTGTTCCTCCCCCCCTCCTTTTTCCTCTCCCCAGCCGGCATACTACAATCTAGGGGTGGTGTATTCGGAGATGGGGCAGTACGAGGCAGCCCTGCAGTTCTACGACAAGGCAGTGGCGCTCAGACTGCCCTCCCCCCACCCCTCCCCCACCACTGCCCCTCACGCCCGTTACCCACGCCTGCCTGCCCCGTCCCTGTCCGTCCCACAGGGGTGGTGTATTCGGAGATGGGGCAGTACGAGGCAGCGCTGCAGTTCTATGACAAGGCAGTGGCGCTCAGGCCACTCTATGCGGAGGCGCAACCCCCAGAGACGCAACCCCTTCCCCCACCCCTGTCCCCAGTCCCTCCCCCCCCACCCCTTCTCACCCCCCACCCTCTCTCTGTCCCTGACCTTTCTCCCAAACCTTACACCGCCCCTTTTCTTCCTCCTCCCCCCCACTCCTTCCTCAAAAACCAGCCGGCGTACTACAATCTAGGGGTGGTGTATTCGGAGATGGGGCAGTACGAGGCAGCGCTGCAGTTCTACGACAAGGCAGTGGCGCTCAGGCCACTCTATGCGGAGGCGCACTGCAACATGGGGGTGATTTACAAGAACTGCGGGGATTTACACTCAGCGATTGCATGCTATGAGCGGTAAGTGGGTGGGTGGGCACTGGGCACCAAGGGGGAGTGCAAGCAAGGCAGTGGCCCTCTCAGGCCGCTCTATGCGGAGGCACATTGCAACATGGGGGTGATTTACAAGAACTGTGGGGACCTGCACTCTGCTATTGCTTGTTATGAACGGTGAGTAGGTGAAGGGGGGGGGGGGGGGGGATGGGTGTGCGTGCAAGCAAGGCAGTGGCCCTCTCAGGCCGCTCTATGCGGAGGCGCATTGCAACATGGGGGTGATTTACAAGAACTGTGGGGACCTGCACTCTGCTATCGCGTGCTATGAGCAGTGGTTGGCATATTTTGTTGTCCACTCCACTCTTCTCGGGCTCCCCACGTTCACCCTCCCCCCACGTTCACCCTCCCCCCACGTTCACCCTCCCCCCACGTTCACCCTCCCCCCACGTTCACCCTCCCCCCGTTCCCCTCTCCCCCAACATTCCCTCAACCCCCACATCCTTTCACCCTCCAACATTCCCTCAAACGCCAGGTTCCCTCCCCTTCCTTCCTGTCTGCCTTCCTCCCCTCTCTCGCCACTACCAGGTGTCTGGCAGTAGCGCCCAACTTCACCATCGCACGCAACAACATGGCCATCGCGCTCACCCAAACTCCTGCTGTCCCCCAACCCCGTGCTGGTCGCACCTCTTCCCCCCTCCCTTCCAACCCCTGCCCATTCACCAGGTGTCTGGCAGTAGCACCCAACTTCACCATCGCACGCAACAACATGGCCATCGCGCTCACCGACCTGGGCACCAAGGTGAGGCTGGGAGGGAGGGAGAGCTGGGGGAAAGTGGGGGAAGCGAGGGTAGAGTGGCAAGTACAGGTGCAGGGAACAACAGGCCATCGCGCTCACAGACCTGGGCACCAAGGTGAGGCTGGGAGGGAGGGCATCGGGGGTGGGGGGGGGAGAGGGAAATGGGGGCTAGAGTGGCAGGCACAGCCACATGCAACAACATGGCCATCGCACTCACAGACCTGGGCACCAAGGCGAGGCTGGGACCTAAAGGTGGTGGGGGGGAAGGGGCAGAGGGAAAGGAAGGGAGGGGAGGGGAGGGGAGGGGAGGGGAGGGGAGGGGAGGGGAGGGGAGGGGAGGGGAGGGGAGGGGAGGGGAGGGGAGGGGAGGGGAGGGGAGGGGAGGGGAGGGGAGGGGAGGGGAGGGGAGGGGAGGGGAGGGGAGGGTGGGGATGATAGAGAGTGGCAGGAAGAGTCGGAGGGAAGGGAGCAACATGGCGGTTGCGTTCACTGACCTGGGCACCAAGGTGCGTGAGAGGGAGAGCCGAGGAATGTGGAAAATAGTGCCAAGTGCAGATACAGGAAACAACATGGTCATTGCACTCACTATCTTTGGCACAAATGTGAGGCGGGTAGGGAGGGCTAGGGGGTGGAGGGGGGCGGGGAAAGGGGCAGAAAGCAGGGGGAGGGGAAGGGTGGGGATGATAGAGTGGCAGGAGCAGTCAGGGAGGAACACGGCCGCTGCCCTCACTAACCTGGGAACCAAGGTAACGCGGGCGGAGGGCCAGAGGGGAGGTGGGGTGCAGGAATATATCAGCGGGTGTGGCCCATTGCGAGCTTGGTACTTACTTTTGTCATCCTCACTCTCTCACTCCCCACATGCATCTTCCCGTACACTAATCCCCCCGCATGTGAAGCTGGAGGGGGGCATATTAGCGAAGCATCTCGATGCATAAATAGCGAGGGGAACATTCATTGCATTGCACACACTAGCACTACCACTGACCCACTGCCATCCCCACAGGTGAAGCTGGGGGCGGGCATATCAGCGGGCGTGGCGTACCGCAAGGATGGCACCTCCTACTCACACCTCCATAATTCACCACACTCCCTCCCCCCTCACGTACCTTCCCCTTGCCTTCCCCACAGGTGAAGCTAGAGGGTGACATATCAGCGGGCGTGGCGCACTACAAGCGAGCGCTGCTGTTCAACTTCACTACGCCGACGCCATGTACAACCTGGGGGTGTTTACTCACTCACACACTCCAACACAGGACATATCAGCAGACGTGGCGCAATAGAAGCATGGTGTCTGATTTACACACTCCACCCCCCTCCCTCCTTCCCCCAACAGGTGAAGCTAGAGGGTGACATATCAGCGGGAGTGGCGCACTACAAGCGAGCGCTGCTGTTCAACTCACACTACGCTGATGCCATGTACAACCTGGGGGTGGCCTATGGCGAGATGCTCAAGTTCGATATGGTAAGTCCTTACACTGTGAGATGCACATTCCAGGTTTAACCCGCGCTAACCACAAGCGAGCGGGCGCTGCTGTTCAACTCGCACTACGCCGATGCCATGTACAACCTGGGGGTGGCTTATGGCGAGATGCTCAAATTCGATATGGTGAGTGAGTGAGTGAGTGAGAGAGTGAGTGAGTGATTGAGTGAAACCACGTGCGCATTAGACAAATGTGCATGTCTGCACACGCATACAACCCATGTACTGCCTGGCGACACTGCAAGCGGGCGCTGCTGTTCAACTCGCACAATGCCTATGCCATGTACAACCTGGGGGTGGCTTATGGCGAGATGCTCAAATTCGGCATGGTGAGAGTGCACGCGCATATTAGCACAGATATACACATATGCATGTGTACACACCACAGCTCATGTACAGCCTGGGCATGGCTTATGGCGAGATGCTCAATCGACATGGTGAGAGCGCATGCGTATACATGTGTGCAGTACATCACATACCCATGTACAACCCGGGCGTGGCCTATGCGGAAATGCTCAAGTTTAATACGGTGAGTGAGTATGACCACGTGCACATGCACGCATACGCACACACGCAGCACATGTAGAGCCTGGGAGCGTTGGCTTGTGGCGAGATGCTCGACTGTGATCACAGTGCGTTGGCTTGTGTGCTCGATGCACACACAAGGAACTTGGCCGCAACCCATGCACCACCTCTTCCGCCCCCTCCTTGCCTCCTCTGCCCTTTTCCACACAGGCAGGGGTGATATGAAAGGACTGGGACAACCTGGACAAGGCCATGAAGGAGTGCTGGTTTTTGAGAATTCTCAAAAACCAACCTGGACAAAGCCATGGAGGAGTGCTACCAGAAGGCTCAATCGCTACGCATCCCACTCCCATCCTCCCTCCCGCCTTCTCTTCCCCTTGTGCCCTTTTCGACCATCCATCAATCCCTCCCCTTGGCTTCCTTTCCTTGGTTGCCTTTTCCGCTCTTTCCATTTCCATACTTCCCCTGCCCATCGTGACAGGCAGTGGTGATGTACGAGTTGGCACTACATTTCAACCCCCAATGCGCGGAAGCGTGCAACAACCTGGGGGTGATATACAAGGATAGGAACAACCTAGACAAGGCCGTGGAGTGCTACCAGAAGGCGCTGAGCTTACCACTCCCCTCTTCCCCCTCCCACTCCCTTCTCCATTCTGCTGCTGATGTATGCGCTAGCCCTGCATATTATACCCCCAATGCGCGGAAGCATGCAACAACCTGGGGGTGATATACAAGGATAGGGACAACCTGGACAAGGCAGTGGAGTGCTAGCAGAAGGCTCTGCATGGCTTCCCACTCCCCCCCTCCCTCCTTCGCCCCCCCTCTCATTTTCCCCTCTATTCCAGGCAGTGGTGATGTACGAGCTGGCCTTGCACTTCAACCCGCAATGTGCCGAAGCCTGCAACAACCTGGGGGTGATATACAAGGATAGGGACAACCTAGACAAGGCCGTGGAGTGCTATCAGAAGGCGCTGCGCATCAAGCCCTCCTTCTCCCAGTCGCTCAACAACCTGGGAGTGGTTTACACCGTGCAGGTGAGGGTGTTGGCTGGTGTGTGGTGTGGGGTAACGCATGCCTTGTGATTGATTGTTAGCAGCAAAGCAGCAACAGCAGCAGTGGCAGCAGAAGCAGCAGGAGCAGTGGCAGCAGTAGCACGAGAGGTAGCAACAAGGTGTGAGGTGCATGACAGCAGCAACCTGGATAAGGCCGTGGAGTGCTATCAGAAGGCGCTGCGCATCAAGCCCTCCTTCTCCCAGTCGCTCAACAACCTGGGGGTTGTGTACACCGTGCAGGTGCGTTGGTGTGGGTGTGGGTGAGTGGGGTGCGGTGCAGGTGTGTGCTGGTGCATGGCTGATTACAGCAAGCACCTGGTCAAGGCGCTGCGCATCAAGCCCTCCTTCTCCCAGTCACTCAACAACCTGGGGGTTGTGTACACCGTGCAGTTGAGGGTGCTGGTGGGGGGGTGCTTGGGTTGTGTGGTGCGTGGGTTGTGTGGTGCATGGGTTGTGTGGTGCATGGGTTGTGTGGTGCATGGGTTGTGTGGTGCATGGGTTGTGTGGTGCATGGGTTGTGTGGTGCATGGGTTGTGTGGTGCATGGGTTGTGTGGTGCATGGGTTGTGTGGTGCATGGGTTGTGTGGTGCATGGGTTGTGTGGTGCATGGCTTGTGTGGTGCATGGCTTGTGTGGTGCATGGCTTGTGTGGTGCATGGCTTGTGTGGTGCATGGGTTGTGTGGTGCATGGGTTGTGTGGTGCATGGCTTGTGTGGTGCATGGCTTGTGTGGTGCATGGCTTGTGTGGTGCATGGCTTGTGTGGTGCATGGGTTGTGTGGTGCATGGGTTGTGTGGTGCATGGGTTGTGTGGTGCATGGCTTGTGTGGTGCATGGGTTGTGTGGTGCATGGCTTGTGTGGTGCATGGGTTGTGTGGTGCATGGCTTGTGTGGTGCATGGGTTGTGTGGTGCATGGCTTGTGTGGTGCATGGGTTGTGTGGTGCATGGGTTGTGTGGTGCATGGGTTGTGTGGTGCATGGGTTGTGTGGTGCATGGCTTGTGTGGTGCATGGCTTGTGTGGTGCATGGCTTGTGTGGTGCATGGGTTGTGTGGTGCATGGGTTGTGTGGTGCATGGCTTGTGTGGTGCATGGGTTGTGTGGTGCATGGCTTGTGTGGTGCATGGGTTGTGTGGTGCATGGCTTGTGTGGTGCATGGGTTGTGTGGTGCATGGCTTGTGTGGTGCATGGGTTGTGTGGTGCATGGCTTGTGTGGTGCATGGGTTGTGGTAGCAGCAAGTGCATCAAGCCCTCCTTCTCCCAGTCGCTCAACAACCTGGGAGTTGTGTACACCGTGCAGGTGGGTGGGTGGTGCTGGTTGGTGTGTGGTGGGGAGGAAGGCATGCCTTGTGATTGGTTCTTAGCAGCAGTAGTGACAAGATCAAGCCCAGCTTCTCCTAGTCGCTCAACAACCTGGGGGTCGTGTACACCGTGCAGGTGCGTGGCTTGTGTGCAGGTGCATGCCTTGCCTCGTGTGCACTGCAGCAGCAGCTGCTGCAGGCATCCGAGATAGGATGTCCTGTCGTCCCGTATCGTACTGTGCCATGCCGTGCCGTGCCGTGCCATGCCGTGCCCCCCCCCTCCCCCTTCCCTCTTCCTCTCTCCCCCTCTCCCCATATCCCCTCTTCCTTTCTTGCAGGGCAAGATGGACCTAGCGCTCAACATGCTTCAAGCTGCCATCCTTGCCAACCCGCCTCTCCCCCCTTCCCCCGTCCTCCGCTCTTCCCGTCTCTTTCTCTCCCCATCTCCTCGTATCCCCCCACCCCATCCACCAGGGCAAGATGGATCTAGCACTCAACATGATTCAAGCCGCCATCCTAGCCAACCCTGCGTATGCCGAGGCGTATAACAACCTGGGTGAGCAGAGGGGGGAGCGGGGGATTGGGGAGGGCAAAAGGGTGGGAAGGATGCAGGGGGAGGGGAGTGGGAGGTTGAAAGGAAGCAAGAGGGGAGGAGGGGTTTAGCCGCCATCCTTGCCAACCCTGCCTATGCCGAGGCGTATAACAACCTGGGTGAGTAGTAGGGCCGACTGGGGAAGGCGAAAGGGAAAGCAGTCGGGATGGGGTGGATGGATTGTCGTGGTGCCGAGCTGATGCTTACGGCAGCCTTGGTGAGCAGGGGCAAAAGGGTGTGTTGTGCGGGCATGTGACAACATCCCTGCAGCCATCTCACCCTTCTTCTCTTCTTTTCCCATTCCGCAACCCCACTTGCCATCTCACCTCCCTCCATTCCACTCAGGTGTGTTGCACAGGGATGCGGGCAACATCCCAGCAGCCATAGAGGCGTACCAGCAGTGCCTCGCCATCTCATATCCCCTCAACCCCTCATCTCCCCCCCCCCCCCCCCCCCTCAACACACTCCCCCCACCCCCCTCTTCCAAATTCAGGTGTGTTGCACAGGGATGCGGGCAACATCCCAGCAGCCATAGAGGCGTACCAGCAGTGTCTCGCCATAGATCCCGACTCCAGAAATGCCGGCCAGGTGAGCGATTATGCGGGCAGGTGAGCAGATATGCGCGCAGACAGCAAGTAGTGGGAAAAGGTCAGCCCATTCGATGTTCACCTGTGAGCATGATGGAAACAAAAAGGACATCGCTCACATCCGGTGTTCGCCTATCTCTGCTCGCTTAGCTGTGCGTCCCCTCCCCTCCTTCCCTCTCCTCGCTCACCTTCCCTCCTTCCCTTCCCTGCTCGCCCCTCCTCCTTCCCTCTCCCCTCTCGCCCCCTCTCCTTCTCATGCCTCCGGCCTGAAACTCCCTTATTGCTCCCATCTTTGTAGCTGCAACCCCCCCCACTCCTCCACCCCACTCTTTGCCCCTCCCATCCCCCCTCCCCTCCGCCCATCAGAACCATCTACCAGCCATGAATCTACAATCACGTGCACGAGTATTCCTTCCCACCTTTCCTTCGTCACTGCTCCATTCACTCCCTCTCCACTCTCTACTGTCATTGGATTACTCTCCCCCTCGCCCCTCCTCCCACCGCTCTCTTCCTTCCCCCCCTCTCCTCTCCGCGGAACCGTCTGCTGGCAATGAACTACATTCGCGACGGCCTCGATGACTCACTGTTTCCTCCTGCCCCAAGCAGTGTTGCTGCTCTTGCCATTCTTCTCCTCCTCCCCTCCCTCCCCCCGTGCCCCCTCCTTCTCCTCCTTTTCTTCCCATCAGAACCGTCTGTTGGCAATGAACTACATTCACGACGGGGTGGATGACTCACTGTTCGTTGCTCACCGGTAAGGAACGGTTGTGAGTGGTCGAGAGGTTGAAACTTGAAGTAAGAAATAGAGGGAAGAAGGGGAGGAGGGGAGGGGGGAGAAGAGGGTGAGGGGTGGGTTCACTTCCCTCTTTTCTCTGCTTCTGTTTACATGTTGTGTGTGCAGTCACTCCCCTCTCTCACCCATTGTCACCCCTTCTCCTGCCCTCTCTTTCACCTCTCCTGAGTCACACTCAATCCCTTAACCCCCCTCTCCCTGTCACGCCAGGGAGGAGCGCTTTTCCCGCCTCTCCTGCACCTGTGCTTCTTTCTCTGCCCTGATTTCCTCGACCCACTGGACGCGGCTCGAGCCACAAATAAACACTTACCCTCCCTTCCCCCTCCCGTTTCTCCTGCGCTGACTGGGGCGAGCGCCGAGCGCTTCTCATGCCCTTCCCAACTTCTCATCGTGTTCCAACTCGTGCCCGCCGAGCTTGGTTCTCCATTGAACCTGAAACCCCTCCCTATCTCCTCCTTCTTCACCCCTCCTGTGACTTAATCCAGGGACTGGGGCGAGCGCTTTTCACGCCTCTTTCCGCGCTTCTCCTCGTGGCCCAACTCGTGCCGCCCGGACCGGCGGCTGGTGGTGGTGGGGTACATATCGCCCGACTACTTCACACACTCCGTCTCCTACTTCATAGAGGCGCCCTTGACCTACCACGATCCCAGTGTGGTCAAAGTGGTTGTGTACTCGGCTGTAGTCAAGGTGAGTAGGCACGGGTCAACGCGGGTCAATCTGAGTAAATCTGAGTCAATGGGATGAATGAGAACGCAGGTTGGTGGTGGGGTACATATCGCCCGACTACTTCACGCACTCCGTCTCCTACTTCATTGAAGCGCCTCTCACATACCATGACCCCAATGTGGTGAAGGTGGTGGTCTACTCAGCCGTGGTCAAGGTGGGTCAATGGGGGTCAAGGCCAGTCAATAGGGGTGAACGGGACCGGAGGCTGGTGGTGGGGTACATATCGCCTGACTACTTCACACACTCCGTCTCCTACTTCGTAGAAGCGCCCTTGACCTACCACGATCCCAGTGTTGTGAAAGTGGTGGTTTACTCGGCAGTAGTCAAGGTGAGTCAACTCAGCTTAATGAGGTGAATGGAGTCAATGGGGTCAGCGAGACCGCAGGCTGGTGGTGGGGTACATATCGCCGGACCGACTACTTCACCTACCACACGACCCTAATGTGGTCAACGTGGTGGGTTATTCTGCTGTGGTCAAGGTGAGTCAATGGCAAGACGAACTTGACACACATGTAAGGTCACACATTTCCGCCTCACACACGCGGGTTAACACCTCTGGCCCCCCTTCTCTGCGTCCGTTTCCCTCCCGCTTTTTCACCCTTCCCTCCGTCCCCCCATTCTTCTTCATGCAGACGGCAAAACCAGCCGATTTAAGGAAGCCGTTCAAAGTAAAGGGGGCGTGTGGCGGGACATATTCGGGGTGGACGAGAGGCGAGTGGCGGCCATGGTGCGGGAGGAAGGGGTGGATATACTCGTGGAGCTCACAGGGCAGCACACATAAGCACACACCGCCTCACTACCCCCTCTTCTTTGCTCCCATTCCCCTCCCTCCCTTCCCCTCCCTCCCTTCCGTCCCTTTCCCCTCCTGTCTGTCTGCCTCCCCCGGGCTCAGGCTGACGGCAAGACGAGTCGGTTCAAGGAAGCTGTCCAAAGCAAGGGCGGGGTGTGGCGGGACATATTCGGGGTGGACGAGAGGCGAGTGGCAGCCATGGTGCGGGAAGATGGGGTGGACATTCTGGTGGAGCTCACAGGGCACACGGCCAACAACCGGCTGGGCGTGATGGCATGCAAGGCCGCGCCCATCCAGGCGACTTGGATTGGATACCCCAACACCACTGGGCTCAAAGCGATCGATTATCGCCTCACTGATGCCCTCGCTGACCCTCCCAGCAGTAGCCAAAGGTAGGGGTCTTGGCTCCCTTTTCCCTCTCTCCCAGCAGCACAGCACCGGGTAGGTTTGGGGGAGTGGATATTCTGGTGGAGCTGACAGGCCACACGGTCAACAACCGGCTGGGCGTGATGGCGTGCAAGGCCGCGCCCATCCAGGCCACGTGGATTGGATACCCCAATACTACCGGGCTGAGGGCTATTGACTATCGGCTGACTGATGCCCTCGCTGACCCTCCTACCAGCAGCCAAAGGTAGGAGTCTTGGCTCCGTTTCCCTCTCTCCCAGCAGCATAGTACCGGGTAGGTTTGGGGGAATGGATATTCTAGTGGAGCTGACAGGGCACATGGCCAACAACCGGCTGGGCGTGATGGCGTGCAAGGCCGCTCCCATCCAGGCCACGTGGATTGACTACCGGGCTGAAGGCTATTGACTACCGGTTGCTCTGGCGAATCCACCTACCAGTTCTCAAAGGTAGGATAGGGATCTGTACCTTCGAGCTCTGGAGGGTGTTTTTGAGAATTCTCAAAAGATCCCTATCCCTCCCTTCCCTCTCCTTCTCTCCAGCTGCACCCAGCCCAGAGCTATGGACCTTGCTCCTCTAACCTCCCAGTAGCAATCAGACGTGTTGTCTGAGAAGACGGGTTTTTCTCACCATGCTGATGGAGCTTTCATGGAATCTTCCAAGATGCTTCCTCTAAAACTCTCTATCTATCCTTCCCTGTGCCCTTTCCGCTTCTCCTTGCCTCCTTTCCTTCACAGGCATGTAGAGGAGTTGGTGCGCCTTCCAGGATGCTTCCTGTGCTACACCCCATCATCTGAAGCAGGGCCGGTGTCCTCCTCACCTGCTGTGGCCAATGGCTTTGTGACATTTGGCAGCTTCAACAACCTCGCCAAGGTACAGTGCTGTGCGGTGCAGTGCGGTGAGGTGCAGTGCGGAGTGAGGTGCAGTGCGGTGCAGTGCGGTGAGGTGCAGTGCAGTTCTTCCTCTTCTACACCCCATCATCTGAAGCAGGGCCAGTGTCCCCCTCACCTGCAGTGGCCAATGGCTTTGTGACATTTGGCAGCTTCAACAACCTCGCCAAGGTACAGTGCGGTGATGTGTGGTGCAGTGCAGCCGTGTGCGTGCATGTGTGTGTGTGTGTGTGTGTGTGTTGTTCGTGCTCATGCCTGTGCATTGCCAGCAATCCTTTGTTGCTGCCGCCGCCACCAACGACGACGATGACTCTCCTCGCTCTTCTTGTCTCACTCACGTCCTCCTTCCGCCCTTTCCTCCCTCCCTGCCACCCATTCTTACAACCACAGATCACCCCAGCCGTCGTGCGTCTGTGGGCACGCATCCTCCTAGCAGTGCCCGGCTCCCGTCTGATGCTAAAGTGCAAGCCCTTCACGTGCGCGTCCATCAGCCAGCAGCTCATGGCGCAGCTCGAGTCGCACGGCATCTCCCCTCTGCGCGTCGACCTGCTGCCGCTCGTGCTGCTGAATCACGAGCACATGCAGAGCTACGCGGTCATGGATATCAGCTTGGATTCGTTCCCCTATGCCGGCACCACGACTACATGCGAGTCGCTGTTCATGGGCGTCCCATGTGTCACCATGGCGGGCCGGGTTCACGCTAACAACGTCGGCGTGTCCTTGCTCACAAACATGGGTGAGTGGCTGGTGGTGGATATGGGGGGGTTGAGTGCGGTTGAGTATATGTGCGAGTCGCTGTTCATGGGGTGTGCCATGCGTCACTATGGCTGGGAGAGCCTATTTTTGAGTCGGCTTTTTTTAAGTCGACTTTTTTTTGGTCGACTTTTTTTTAGTCGACTTTTTATTGGTCGACTTTTTTTTAGTCAACTTTTAGCGAGTCGCTGTTCATGGGGCGTGCCGTGCGTCACTATGGCTGGGAGAGCCCACGCTAACAACGTCCCCCCTCCCTCCAAGCCTGTCAAGCCTGGTGGGTCGTAACGAGGACAATTACGCAGTGACAGTCAACCTATCGATCTCATACCTACCCAACCAACCCCGTACCTCCCTTCCGCGCCCCTCCTCTTCCCTCCAGGCCTGCCGAACCTGGTGGCTCGGAACGAGGACGAGTACGTGGCCATAGCAACCCAGCTAGCTTCAGACATCCCGCAGCTGGCATCTCTCCGAGCCTCCATGCGTCCACGCATGCTCGCATCGCGCCTCTGTGACGGCCCCGCCTTCACCCCCCTCGCCCTGCATCTCCCTTCTGTCCTTCCTTTCCCCTACCCCCTGCCCTCCCTGCTTTTTCCTGCTGCCTTTCTTCCTCGTGGCCCTCTCCCCTGCTCCTTCCCGGCCCTCTTCCGTCCAGGTCTGCCGAACCTGGTGGCTCGGAACGAGGACGAGTACGTGGCCATAGCAACGCAGCTAGCTTCGGACATCCCGCAGCTTGCATCCCTGCGAGCCTCCATGCGTCCACGCATGCTCGCCTCTCGCCTCTGTGACGGCCCTGCCTTCACCCCCTTCGCCCTGCTTCTCCCTTCTGCCCTTTTCCCCCCTTCCTCCGTCCTCCTGCCGTCCCTCCTTTCTCTTCCATTCCATCCGTTTTGCTCGCCCTCCCCTGCCTCTGCTCCCTCTCCCCTGCTCCTTCCCCTCCCAGGCCTGCCGAATTTGGTGGCTCGGAACGAGGACGAGTACGTGGCCATAGCCACCCAGCTAGCCTCGGATATCCCGCAGCTTGCGTCGCTGCGAGCCTCCATGCGTCCCCGCATGCTCGCCTCTCGCCTCTGTGACGGGCCTGCCTTCACGCGAGACTTGGAGGCCACCTATCGCTCCCTCTGGCGTCGATACTGCCACGAGCACTCCACGCATGCTGCTGCTGCTGCTGGTGCTGCTGCTGCCTCTGGTGCTGCTTCCGCTTCAGTTGCTGCTGCTGTGTCTGGTGCTGCTGCTGATGCTGCTGCCAGTGGTGGTAGTACTGCTGCTGGTGGTGCTGCTGCTGCTGATGCTGGTGATGGGGGTTCTGCTGATGGTGCTGGCACTGCTGCTGCTGGTGGTGGTGTTGACGGTGCTGGTGGGAGTGATGGGAGTGGTGGTGATGGTTTTGCTGATGCTGTTGGAACCGTCTCAGGTGCTGGTGCTGGTGCTGGTGCTGGTGCTGGTGGTGCACACTGGAAAGGTCGATCAGGGAGAGGTTGCTGGGGGTGGGGTTGCAGGAACCGAAATCAGAGGGAGGACTGGCAGGAAGAAGCAAGGAGAAGAAGGGGTGGGGGGAGCAGCAGGTGCGGCAGGCACAGGGGAACTCGGAAAACGAGAGAAGTCAGCAGCAGGAGTGGCAGGAGCAGCAGGAGTAGCAGGAGGAGGAGGGGGGTGCACACGAACAGCAGAGGGGGTGTCTGAGGCGGTGGCAACTGTGGGGTCAAAAGCAGCACCTGTGGAGGATAGCCGTGGGGGAGGCAGTAGCAGCAGGCGGGGGGAGGGGGCTACTGGGGGAGGGTTTGACGGACTGGGGGGCAATGGAGGGTCAACAGCAGCAGCAGCAGTAGCAGCAGAGGTGGCTTCAGGTGCTGCTGCTGGGACAGACACCCTGAGTGCCGGCCTCAGGTAGCTTCAGGTGCCTCAGGTAGCTTCAGGTGCCTCAGGGTGGTTCAGGTGCCTCAGGTAGCTTCAGGTGCATCAGGTAGCTTCAGGTGCCTCAGGGTGGTTCAGGTGTCTCAGGTAGCTTCAGGTGCCTCAGGGTGGTTCAGGTGCCTCAGGTAGCTTCAGGTGCCTCAGGGTGGTTCAGGTGCCTCAGGTAGCTTCAGGTGCCTCAGGTAGCTTTAGGTGCCTCAGGGAAGGGCAGTATTGGACATTAGTGGTGGGAAGGGCAGGAGTGGTGGGAAGGGCAGGAGTGGTGGGAAGGGCAGGAGTGGTGGGAAGAGCAGGAGTGGTGGGAAGGGCAGCAGTAGCTGCTGCTACCGCAATATACGGTGCATTCAGAGGTGTGCCTGCCGGTAGATGAAGGGAGACGAGTGAAGCGAGAGGAGTGAGGCGAGACCAAAACGGCCAGCCGCAACGGAGGATGCTGGTTGTTGCTCGTGGTTGCTCGTGGTTGCTGGTGGCGTGAGCTCAAACATTGCATTCAGCTTTTTTTAGTGAAGTCAGGTGTGTTTCGGCACGAGTGTTGAAGCACGGCCGTCCATGCGATTTGGAGGAGTGTTGAAGCACGGCCGTCCGTGCGATTTGGAGTTCTGACATGGGCAGCAACAGCAGCACCAATGGTTTTTTTGGAAGCCAAGACAAAAGGAATGCAGGTTTTTAGTCTGGAGGAAGCAGTTACAAGAGGTGGAAGGGGAGGAGGGGGGAGGGGAGGAGGGGGGAGGGGAGGAGGGGGAAGGGGAGGTGCATTTAGGAGCTTCCACACTATCCCAATCCAATGCCACCATAAGGGCGGCGAGGGGAGCGGTGGTAGATAGGAGGAAAGGGTTTCCCCTATACAGAAAATGCTAGTGTAGGTTGCAGCTGGGGGTATCAATCAATCGTGATGGTTTTCCACAAGAGGTCTACTTTCATGAGGCGTCTAGTTATAAGGCAGAGGATCCTTTAACAGGCGTGTTTGTGGGGCCGATTTTGAAGCTGCACTGGAAATGGAATCTGCTGGGGATAGGTGTTAGGTGGGTTGGGGATGAAAAGGACGGATTGTTTTTGTGCCTGTAGTGATAATATGTGCTGGGTGAGTTGTAAGGAATGTGCTGGGTGCGGTGTAAGAGATGTGTTGGGTGTGGTGCGCTTCTCTGGTCAGCTCAAAAGCTACCGGTACCTGTGTGGGGGGATCAGATTAGGGGGTAGATTGAAAGGGATAGCTTGTTCTGCTTCTGCTCTGTTTCTGTCGCCGTTTGAAACAACTCCAAAGCATGGTTGTCCGTAGGTTCAAAACTCAAGTGTTGGTGATTAGGTTTGTGGATACAAAGTGTGAGTGCTCCTGTTGGATGCTGCTCTAGGAGGTATACTCAAAAGTAGTTGGTTGAGGGAATCAGTGGGGGTTTGGTGGTGGGAAGACATGGTGTGGTACAGCGCATCCGGCAGATGCTGATTCTGCTTATTTTAGGTGCTGTACCAAATCACATTCATCCCTCCTGCGTGTATTTTGTTGCCGTGCAATTGCATGTTGCATTTTGTCTGTCGTGCGTTTTGAGCAATCTTCCGATTCGAGGACTGCCACGTAAGGATGATTTGGGTGGCAACAAGCTGCCATGTAGATGCACGAGTGTTGACGTTCAGGCATGTCGTCCACCGTTCATTTCTTCATTGAATGAAAGCACCGTTCAATCTTGCGAGTGGGATGGGATGGGATGCTGCTAGGGTTTGCCCCAAAAGTTGAAACCGAATGGGGGTCTAGGAAAAAGAGACACCCAAATGTTTCTGTACAGTACACCACTCACACTGCCCAGCCCAATCAAACCACCTATCTGACCTCCCTCCCTCCCTTCCCATCCCACCCATCCCATCCCATTCCTTTCAGGTGGCTTTCGAGACCCACTGGGTCTGCTTGGAGGAGTCTGTTGTGTAGCTTGTCGTTTTCCAAGAGGGGCCCAGCACTGAAGATCAGAAGAAGATTCCGGCCCTGCTGATTTGCTTGTTGCGATTCTGGCCTCTTTTTCTCCGTGCTTTCGAGTGCGGGGGAGGAAATGATACACACGCTCTGAAAGGAGAAGGCGGTGGGGAAGGTGGGGTAGGGGCTGAGGCAGCAAGTTTCTTTCACTTGTAATCATGTTTCTTCCGAAGCAACCGCCTTCGGGGCAGAACAGAAACTTCGAAAGGGCAGAGCATCTGAATCACAATGGGACGGGCAATGATGCAACAAGATTTTCCTTGTCATCATAACCATTAGGGACTTTCCCGAGTTTCTACCAATAACATCGCTAAGAATTGACAACGCAAAATCCACTTAGATGCTATTCCTGCCTTTGAACGATGGAGTGGGTTGATGGCCCACTGCTTCAAATTTGGCCCCTTCGATGTCGCTTCAATGACTGGTGTCTTGTTGTGCCTTGTGGTTTTTACTGTTTTCGTATTTGTCCTTCCACCGATTCGTCCCTTCGATTTTCCCTTCCAGCCAAATTCGTTTCGCAAAAAGGTTCGGGGAGATTTCTGGACTGTGACTCTAAGCTTCCTTGTCAAACGCAGATGACCCTGTGAATGATAGTGCTATTTCCAAACATTCCGGCTAGATCTGTGACCTTTCTCTGGTTCGAGATTTTTTTTCAGCGACTGAATCCAGGCTTCACAAGCCCATGCTGGGCTGAATCCTGATTTCTACGTACCGCTGCACAGATGCGATGAAAAGTGGGTGGAGGAGTGCTGTAGGTGTGAGGTGCTTAATACATGAACTGCTGCCGGACCATGTGAAGTCTGAGTTATTTTCGTAGGAAGGTAGTGCAGAGTCCTTGTAAAACCCAACCGGGACACAAAGCAGATGTACATCGAGATCCTGTCGCGCCGGATCTCGCCCTGAAATGGAAGGGAAGCTCAAAACGAAAAAAGAACCACCAACTCCTCCGTGTCACCGATGGCCAATTTTTGCTTGAGCTCCGCAATTTTCGTTGGCTCTGTCTGAAACGAAGTGGGAGCGACAATAACGAAAGGACCTAAACTTGTTACCTTCTTCGTTAATTTTGTTCGTTGTTTTTCCCACGACGAAGTACTACGAATGAGAACCATTTAGTACCGAAAGATCGCGACTGTTTTGACGAAGGAAAACGGAGAACATCGAATTCTGTAACGACATTACTGTACTGGAGAATCTTCGTAACAAGCTTCCTCCCCCGTCCATTTCTGTATCTCGTTGACCCTATTTTTAAGGGCGGGGGCAGCGCGTTCATTTTCCTGGCTTAGCCCGAAACAGTTACCAGATTCAGCGGTTTGTAACCCTGATTTAGGTTAACATGTGGACACGACAGAACATACAGTGGATGAACGGTGGCTGTTTTCCGTGCCGTCAACCGAACAAAACACGTACCCACGACGGCCGCGAACAACCCGCGCATCATTCGAGAATGCTTGTGTGCAGGTCAGCGAAACCGCGTCACGACTTCGTCAAGCGCGTACGACCCTCGCAAATTCATGGGTTCACAAACACAACCAGAACTCTGTCGCACAGGGTTACCTCATTGGGTGGGCGGTTGGGCAAAAGTGTGGCAAGACCTGTGCGCAATTTTGGACGCGCGTGTCCCACCCGGGACACGAACTAAGCGCGGTACAAAAATGCTAGAGTATCTTCCAGATTCGACGGGCGTCCAAATTTTGGAAAAGTGGCGAAAATGAACGCGCTGCCCCCGCCCTAACAGTGGTCCTCCCATCCTTGCTGCATTTGAATGGTTCTCCTTCACGTTCCCCTCCAGCTGTGCCGAAATGAGCGTCCTCTGCTCGACTCGACTCGACAGACATGGCAACAAAAAATCTGGCTTTCCTTCCTCCTCTCAACATTCGGCTTGTGCGGAAGAGTGCCGATACGCGGCCCTTTTTTCCGTTGGTCAAATCAAACCAACGGCGATCACTGCTCTTTTCAGTCCTGAGCACGCACATTCACGAACGAGCCACGACGACTGCTTGCCATCTCCCTACCGTTCGTCTCCTCTCAAGCTTCCCATCCCATACGTGTGAATGTTCAACTCAAGTTGAGCACTGTTAGATTCTGAAAGGACACCATTCACCTGGCAGGGGTCGCTGCCATGTGTAATCGTCGTTCGTTTTTCCAATTGGACAGCGACGGCTTCCAGTGGAGCCTATCTGTAATCGAATAGCTGGCTAGATTTGAACTTCAACAATTTAGGAGGAGTATTGCCATTCTCAGAGTTACGCAACGCCTTTCATGATTTCCGCGGCTATTCACTCTTCGTTCCAGCTGTCTTGTTCAACGAGTTACCATAGTCACTAAGCAACCACTTACCTTTCACTATTACTCACAGTCTCTCAGCGTGCTTGCTGATCGACTTGATTTTAGTAGCCCGGCCGGAACCGACTCGGTTCTCGAGATTGAGACGTCTCGAAAACCGTCTCGGTTTTTCTTCAGGAGAGCCAGCTGATGGCTGGATCTGATGACGGCGCCATGGCCGAGCGTCATAGCAGTACTACCAATGTGTCAGACGAGAGACCAATCATGCCATTGGACGACAGACTACGTCAACGTCAACGTCAACGTCAACGTCTAGAAAGTGGTCTTCATCAGGCGGAGCGACGGACGCCGTTGCTGTTGCCGCTGCTACAAATCCCGGACGATGGCGTCGCGGCTTCAGCGTCGGCGCCGCCGCGCGACGCGGCGGACCAGCACATTACTAGGCTGTTAGAACAGCGGCGCCGCGATATTGACGTTGGTACTACTACTTCTCGACACGAACTCACAAATGTCGACGAGCGTTTACGCTTTATATCTAACGATCCGTCACAGCCGCAAAATGCGTCAGGTGGTGCTCAACCTTGGTTGGATGATGAAGATCAGCGAATCGCAGGAGGACGCCGCTGGGAGAGAATCGGGACCGTCAGATCCATGATGATTGCCGGGGCGGACGGTGGTGATGATCAGCGTGATTTGACGCGCCTTAGGACTGATCAAGCTCACGACAATCGCGAAAATCGCGACGATCGCAACACTGGCGACGACAATCAACGACCTCAAGATACGACTCCCGAACCGCCACGTTCCGCGCCGCGGTCAAGCAGAATGCAACGAACTTGGCTCGCCTCCGCCGCCGACAGAGGCGCGGCGGCAGCGGCTTTCACGCGAGATCCCCTGCAAATCTTTCAGCAGGCCACCGCGTCTCAAGCCGCCATTCACGGCGCGTCTCGCGCCGCTATGCCCGCTCCAATGCCGTTTCCAACCGCTCAGGCCGCAGCCGCGGCCGGGTTTCGCACGGAATTGGCTCCCGCGGCGCCGTTTTCGTCGCCGGGTATCACGGCGGGCGTCGCGCCCGCGCCGTTTTCGGCGTTCACCGCACCGTCCGCTCTGTGGAGCGCATTGGCGCAACAGATCTCGTCCGCGCAGCAGATCTCGTCCGCGCAGCAGATCTCGTCCGCGCAGCAGCAGCGGCAATTGTCGGCGGAACAGCGCTCGTTTGCGCAACAGATCTTCTCAGCGCAACATCTCTCGTCCGCGCAACAGATCTCATCGGCGCAACAGCTCTCATCCGCGCAACAGATCTCATCGGCGCAACAGCTCTCATCCGCGCAACAGATCTCATCGGCGCAACAGCAGCGACAAACGTCGGCGGAACAACTGCTCGCGTCGGCAGAGCAGCTGCGAATGTCGTCCGCCATCGCCGCAACTTCCGCCGGAAGCGGCGCTGCCGCCGGCGGCGGACGCGTCGGCGACGACGCGACTTCGCGGGGAGTCGCAGCATTGCGACCGCCGCCCAGCGGGCGACCGCCGGACGATTCCGGCGAACCGTCGCTTGAGCTGAGCGATTGGCTTACGCGAATAACACGTATCCCTGATCCTTTGGGTGGTATGCGCAGTGGTAGCACGGTTTCCGGCGAGAAGCAGCATAACGCGGCCGCTGGTGGCACTTCTGCTTCTGCCGGTGTGCTTGACACGAGATCGCCCACTGGACGAAGCGCGTCACACGCCGTCGGCGGCGGAAACGTGCGAAAAGGCGGCGGAAACTGGATGGGGCGGGACGGCGGGAGCGGAACGGGAAGTGCTGCGGAAGGCGCAAGGGACAGAGACGAAAAGGTTTCGTTTCCGCGAGGGGAGAGAAAGAGCGACGCGCTTCCCTGGGAGTTCTGCTTCCGCGGGGGGAGCTTCCGCGCGTCGCCCACCGAGCGCGCAACGCCCGGCGCCGCGAAGGGGGAGGGCGCCTCGGCGACTCCGCATGAGCTCCGCGCAGCACAGGGGAGCGCAACGAGTGCGGGCGGGTTTACTACCGCGGGCGGCGGCGGAAGGGTGGGTGGCGCGGATTTAGCGTGGGGTGCGGCGGGAGGAGGTTTCCTCCCGCATGGCGCAAGCGCGAGCGCGAACGTGAGCGCGAGCGTGGGCGGAGAGAGCGCAGAGGGGCGCATGGAACGAAGCCGCAGCGGCAGATCAACGGATGGGAACGATCGACAGGTGCGGCATGATAATGCTACACCGGCAGCGGCAGCTGCAACAGCAGGGGCGACAGCAGCGGCGACAGCAGGGGTAACGACAACAGACACACAGGCAGGTACCCCTACGGCAACTCCAAGGTCTACTGCTATTTCTAAATCGGCACGGGCAGGATTCGCAGAGGGAACGGGAGCTTCAGGGCGAGATTTGACCGACGCTTCTGGATTGCCACGTTGGGGAGCAGCAGCAAAAGCAGACCCGGCTGGAACAGCAGGTGCCAGGGGGTTTGGGGCCTATGCGGGCCTTCAAAGGCTTCAGGATATTCAGGAGATTCAGGGGATTCAGGGGATTCAAGAGGGGTTTGCGGGGTTTGGAGGTGGTGGTGAATCGTTTGAAGGGCGTGTTCCAACAGCAACCCTAGAACCAACGTCCCCTGCTGTTCAATTCGCAGCAGCGGGGGCCGCAGCTGCTGCTGCCGCTGCCGCTGATGACGCTGCTGCTGCTGCTGCTGCTGATGCCACTGCGGTTGCCAGTGCTGATCTCGTACCTCTTTCCACAGCAGGCTCAGACTCGCTTGGTTCGGCAGAGGTTCGGTCACCCCCCGGCCTCGCCCAGCGGCGGTTGTTCAGCCTTGGAGGGCCTTCCCTGTCCCCGCTGCTAGACTCAACTGCCTGGCCACTCGCAGGTGCGGCAGAGAACCGACCCTGGATCCGAGGTTCGGGGCCGCACGAGTGCAAGGTTTGCCACATGCGGTTCCCGACCCTGCATGCATTGGGTGGGCACCAAAACGGGCACAAAGAACTACGGCTGCAGCGACAGCAGGAAAAGGCGGCAAAAGCAGCGGCTGCTGCTGCAGGTGCTGGTGGTGCTGGTACTACTGGTGGGAAAGGAGGTGGGGAAAGGAGGAGCAGAGCGACGAAGCCGCAGGGTGAAATCGTTGCTGCTGTAGGAGCGAAGCAAGGAGAGAGCAGATCCATGCTGGCCGTTGAGTCGACTCAGAAGTCACCTGGGAAGCAGCAAGGCAGCAGAGGCGTTACTGCTGCTGCTGCTGCTGTAGCAGCAAAGCAGGATGAGGCTGCATTGATAGCACAAAAGGAAGCAGAGAGAGGGGGAAGAGGTGGAGGAGGAGAAAGAGCAAGAAAACAGCAAGACGCGGGAAGGCAACAACAAGACGCAGCAAGCCAGCAAGTTCAAATGCAAGATGCACCTGCAAGGCATGACTCTCCACCCAGGCAGGACACCACCCCGCGCAAAGACGGCACACCGAAAAAGAAAGGCACGCCGCAGAAGCAAGAGATTGCTCAGAGGGAGCGAGAAACGGCCAAGCGCAGGGAAGAAACGGAGGTAGGGGAGGGGGAGAGTGTGCGTACGGGCGCTGCTGGTGCGGCTGTTGCTAGGCGGTGGCGCTGGCGTTGCTAGTGCTGGTGGCGTTGGCAGTGGTAACAAGGGAAGGACCGCAGCCAGTGTAACTGTTCAATGCGACGTTGGTGCTGCTGGCCCTGCAAGTATATCATGGGCAGTGGCACAGTCACGCACGTTACAACCAGGCACGTTACGAGGAGGCAGCATGGGTACAGCGTCTCTCCCTTTCACTGTGATTCAACAGCCGGTTACCGTTACAATGGGCGAGGTGAAACCTGAGCCGGTGGATGCTGGCCATCCGACCGTTGGATGGAGGGGACGAGCCGTGGGAAGCGATCCTGAGCGTTCGATGGGAGAGCGAGGAGAGGGTGATGTGAGTGCTCAGCAGTGGGAGGAGCGGTTGGGATGCGGACAAGACACGCCGACCAGGAGTGTGCTGGAGAGTATTTTCGGTGGGCTGACTGCTCCTTCTCCACCTGCTGGTGACTTGGAGCGGTTGCAACAACAACGTGAGCAACAACGGCAGCAGCAACAGATTGAACAAATTGAACAGATGGTGCAGCAGCAGCAGCACCATCGCCAAGACCAGGAGCAGACGCGGCCACGACCGTGGGAGCAAGAGGCGCTGCAGGAGAGAGGGCAAAACCGTCAGGAGCTGCTGGCAGAAGCAGGGAGAGGAGGAGGAGGAGAAGGAGCAGGAGCAGGAGGGGCAGGACGAGGAGGAGGAGGGGTGGAAGGAGCAGGAACAGAAAGGAGGCTGCGAGAAGCTTCCGGAACACATGCCGCATTACCAGAGCAACCAGAAAACCCAGGGCCCTCAGGGCACCCAGGGCACCCAGGGCACCCAGCACAACCAGGGCAGCACCAGCACCACCAGTCTGTAGAGCAGTGGGGGCAGCAGTTCAAGCACCCCAAGCAGCACTCCGCTCCGGCTGCAGAGCAGCGCGGCACATCTCCCTTGCCTGGAGGAGCCCTCCCCGTGCTGCTGCCAGAGCAGCATCCTCGTTATAGGGATGCAGCATCGCCGCAGCTGAGGCCGAAACGCGAAGCTTGTGAAGCTGGGGAGGAAGCAGCGGGAGAGGGGGGAGTTGCCTCGGGGGATGCGAGGAGGAGAAGGATTTCCATGGACCGCGGGTTTGTGTCACCCAGGGTTGCAGACGGTGCGACTTACGACGCGACTCAAAGCGCGACTCACGGCGCAACGCAGACCGCGACTCGCAGCGCTATTCAGATCGCAACCGACAACGCGATTCAAGTTGCAACACACAGCGCGATTCAAATCGCGACTCGCAGCGCGATTCAGAGCGTGACTCACAGCGTGATTCACAGCGCAAATCACGGCACACCCCGCAAGGCATCTGACTTTTTGCCTTCAAAGGGACCCTCGGAATTGCCTCTACCAGCACCCGCCTCAGTCCCAGCAGCAGCATCAGCAGCAGCAGCATCAGCAGCAGCAACAGCATCAGTCTCCCAGCAAACGACAGGCGCCTTCGCTGCCGGATCACAATGGTTCCCTGCCTCCCAGGCGACTGTGTCCAAGTCATTAGCACACTACGCAGTGCTCTCGAAATGGGCTGCGGAATCCAGTGGGGGGAGAGAGGCCAACTTGTCGGCAGCAGCAGGAGCAGGATCCATTCAAGGGGATCAGCCACAGCAACGCTTGGCGGACGACGCACCGGGAGGGGCAGGGGCAGATTCGATGCACCCAGGAGCCAGGCCGGATTGGATGCGCCCGGCTGCCGCCTCCTCTGCCTCAGCTCTTGAACCACCCTCGGAAAAGCCATTTCATCTCGCGCGAAGACCGCAGCAGCGTTTGGGAGAGGACTTGTCGGAACGAGGAGGTCTGAATCCCAAGTGGATGCGCCCATCCTCAGCTGGGTCGTCCTCTTCGGCTTTAACTTCGGATTTCACCCCCAGTCAGCCCGCCCGTGCTGCTGATAGCTCCATTGCTGCTCTGCTGTCGTCGCAGGGACGGTCACGGGGTGGGGAAGTCGATTGGAGTGCTGGTGGTTCGGCAGGTGGTATGGTGGGGCGGCCAGATGAGCAGTGGCAGGGGTATCACACGCAACAGCAGCTGGAGCAGCAGCAGCAGCAGCAGCAGTATAGAGCAGCAGAGTTCAGTGCAGCAGTCAGTGCAGCAGCAACTGAAGCAGCAAGTGCAGCATCACCAGCAGCACCAAGAGACTGTCCGTCTGGCAACACCAGAGAGGAGCCAGCCCACAGCAGGAACTTCTTATCCCCCGTTTCAGCTGTCTCCACGGGAGATGCACGAGTTTGTAAACTTGGGCGAACACCACAGCGATACACGTAGGGAGAACGAGCAGCTTCGCTATAAGATTCTCCAGCAACAGCAAGCGGATCGCGGATTACCAGTGGATATGCAGCAGCAACAGCACCAAAAGGGTGTAGATTGTAGTGATCAGGCAGAGAGAAGCCAGGATGCTGCAGTTGAGCCTCAGAGGCAAGAGGATGCAGTAGCTGATACTGAAGCTGGTGCTAGGTTAGATTTAAAACTGTCCCTGTGAGTCAGCATAAAAAACATTGGAGATGGACCCTGTTTTGTCAAGTTATATATGCTGTGAAGAGCACCTCAAAGTGCTAGCAACTGAACTGCTTGTTATTTATTTCCTGAAAAGAAACCTGAAAACCACACAATTAGACATATATACAAGAGAAAACCACACAATTAGACATATATACCAGAGAATGACAACGGAACAACTTCAGAAGCCTCCCACCACAACAATCCTCCAAGCCCGAGACAGAAGCTGGGCCTTGGTAAGATATGCCAGCCAATTTGGCTGGCTGCACATCCAAGTCAGTAACCAATCACCACCACTACCACCGCCACTAGCGTCAGTTGCCATGCATGCTGCTTCTGCCCTAGAAGCACGGGCAAACGCAACAAACCATCAGACTAGCAGCAGCTGCGGAGGTTCAAGCATCTCAATCTTTCTTCCTGCAAAGGAACATCACTGTAGACACACCAGCTACCGCCACCGCGGCGACAGCAGCGGCAGCAATGGCACCACGCCCCGTCACAAGACCCGACTCCCCCACCCAGCTAGGCCACCCAGCCGAAACGGTTTCCGCCTCTTGTTTCGCGAAGTTTTGGTGGAAGCTGGTTACCCGATTACAGCTGGGCTGTTTTGGAAACTGCCCCTGCTTCACTGGGCGAGAAGCGGAAGTCTCAGAAGCAGAACCGAATCGCACCGAAGGCGAGCCGCAGAGGTAACTATCCCACCGCGTCGAAGAGCCGGGAGACGCGGAGACGCAGGAAAGAGTCGAGTCCGTTCTAAGAGACGCGCCGCCGCTGACCTCGCCGCGAACGTCGCTAACGGCGGGTTCGGCGGACGCAATTGATGTCGACGAATAGGAGGCCGACGAGCAGCTGTGGAAGCTCGCGGAGCCGAGCCGATTAACGGCGTCCAGCGTGGAAGACGGGCTATGAGCCACGCCTCCCGCGCCGCATTTGGCGAACTCGCAAGGGCTGTTATTTGATCCTTTCGACGCCTCGCTGCTGGAGCGAGAAGTCTGACGAGAGATGTACTGAGCCGAGAGTGACCGCGAGACGGCAGTGGGTGCGCAGGAGCAGACTTCCGAACCAGCGTCAGAAAGAGCCGAACCGGAAGCCGAGCCGGGCATACGTTCGGAAGAGGCGTCGGGATCGGCGGAAACACACCGCATTGAACCGAGACGATCAGCCTGCTCCTCCACCTGCTGCTGCGGCCAGAGCCCCATCCTTCCCCGCCAAAGGCGCTCCACCACCGAATCACCCATGACGTGGAGCTCCATGACATCTGCCACGTCATCAGGCATGACTTGGCCGTACCAGTCGCCCCGAACCTCTCCAGTTTGCCCAGCCGATGCAGCTGCTACCAACGCGGCGAGAGCTTCCGGAGGAAGCTGCTGCCTTTTCGCGCCAGACAGGAATCGATCCTCGGACCTCCTCCTTCCGCAGTTATTGCACGACGGCTTGCTCCGTTTGAATACAGACACGTTTCCAACACACGCATCCATGGAGACATTCCGCGACAGGTGACAGCACGGCCAGACGTGAACATCGATCAAACCTCGCCGTTCAAACTCCTCGCGAAATTTCGCCACGACTTGAGGACCGATCGCCCCGCAGAGCGAGTCACGGGTGGCATGGCAGCACACGAAGATGTGACACCCGGTAAGAGGTTCCGGCCAGAGCAAGCGAGGCTGCTCATGCACGAGAGCCTCATCCACGAAGCACTCAACATCGAAACGAGTCAACGACCTGTAGGTGTGCAAGAAACGCCAGGCAAGGAGACAGACAAATACATACACAAGGGAGATAAAAGGTGAGGGAGCATTCTAGGAAAAATGCAGACACATATCCCTTTTACGAGCCACTAGAAACAAATATCCAGCAACACAAAAAAATATAGAAGCTAAAAAACGGCACTAACCTGTAAATTAACATTTCAGGGAAGACCAAAATGTCCCCATTGTAGGAGCCAGGGACGTCCCTTCCTTCACACACCGTGAACATCGTCTGAAATTTATTGAAGACAAGGGGGTACATTACGGAAGAGAAAGCAAGGTAAGCTAACACATCAAGATAAGTAACGGCATAACTACCACGGAAGCAAGATGGCACGAAATAAGAAGAGCACGACCCTTAGAACTGAAAGACGACAGGAGAGGATCAAAGTAAAAAACACAGAAAGGACTAAGGTAAACGTGGAGGACAACACACGGCGTAACTCACCTTTCTTTGCATCTCCTCCTCGCGAGCTTTGATATCAGCACGAAGTCTCCTCGGCATGCAGTCCCAGTCGAACGAAAACGGATTCTCAGGCCAGTTAGCCGGGCCCTTATGACACAGGAACACATGTCGGTCGTGAAACGGCACACTACCGACCATGGAATCGTGAGTCTGAGCGTAACTCAACGGAATAAACGAATCTACACATCTTGGAGGAGAGGAGTGCGACGAGCTCCTGGAACTTCCAGGGTATAGCGGATCGGACCAGGAGTGTCGTCCCTTCGACATACATGCCTCCCTAGACTTAGCATCACAAACGAGGAAATCCATCTCTGGGTAATCTAGCTGTAAGTTTAGTACGGCAGCTACGCGGAACACGAAGTACTAGCGCTGTGTGGGTGATCTAGGGATCACCGAATTGCGAGGACTTGGAAAAGCAAGTCATGTGAGTGAGAGCATGTGTGGTACCCTATATACTAGAGACAGGCGACCCAGCGAGGGGGGGTTTGGTTTGGCTGGAGTTCCAACAATTCAGCGCCCAAGATTTCCTGAGGTGGGACGGGAGGGAGGGAGGGACGGAAAGGGGGAAATGATGGCGGAAGCGGAGAGGCGGAGTGATGATCACCTAGCTCCTCCGCCAACAGGAGAGGTGGGAAGCTTGGGGAAATGGAGATTGAGGGGGGAGAGTGGGGTTGAGGGAAGGAGAGTGAAGAAATGGGAAGGGGGACAGGACGGTGGTCGGACGGTTGGACCGATGAGGAGGAGCGCAAGAAAGCACGTGCCACAACCGAAGGACGGGTGGGGGGAACGGGGAGGGGTGGATGATGACGGGTGGGGGGAACGGGGAGGTGTGGATGATGACGGGTGGGGGGAGGAGGGAGTCGGGGAGCATGATCGGAGATGAGGGGTTCGACCCTCGGGAACTCACCAGGGCAGCCGCCAGAACGAGGGCATTTTGAGGCTGATCAAGACGAGACCACTTGCGGAGGGTTTGGGTTTGGCGGGTGTGAGGTGCAAGGGGAAACGGCGGTTGGGGAAGATGGGTTTCGATGGTTTGGTTGGACATGGTTGGCTCGGCTGGTGACATGTGTTTGTTTGCACTTCCAGCAAGGCGAAGCCTCGGGAAGGGAGAGGCTTGGCGTATGATTTGGATCTTGTGTGGGTGCTCCCACCATGTCCCTTGAGGTTCGGCAGGACAGGATTCAATACGGGTTCTGCGGTGCACTACTGCCCTAAACTGGTGCACCACTGTATATTTCATTCCCTCGGGCAACTCGACTGGAAAATCTTTCTCCCATTCCCCTACCCCGATGTACATCGCGATCACCTCCCTCGGGCTGCAACCCTGATCAGTGTGTAGGTTCGGTACAAGCATGAGGTGAGCAAGCTCGCGGGATTTGGCGCGGGTTTTCGACTGGGAAGCGCGTCGGGTTTGGGGGGACTGGTGGCATTTGTGCCGGGAGCGACCGCAATGTGCATTGCTGTCAGCAGGAGATTCGGAACTGCCATGAGGGCCAAGTTTTCCCGGATTTTACTGAGCTACTTGGAAACTTTTGAGCCATTAATTGGAGGTTTGTCTGGCTCCTCGCCTGATCGGGAGCCAACGGGTGGCGCAAAAGTGTACCCACCAACTGTGTGGACAATTCGCGCACAAAGATATGGTGTGTCATCAAAAGCATTTGCTCGCAACAGTGACTGTGTACTGGCGCTTTGTGAGATGGACGCTGCGGCAATGGAGGACGCTCCCACGAAAGGGGGTAGGCTGGTGATGTGGCAGCTGTCCCTTAGAAATAGGAAAAGCCTCACACCGCGTGCTTCGATTGGCACGGACGTGGCACATAGCGACAGTATCGACAGATTTTATTCTGTCCGTGGTGCACCACATGCCTAAAAACTCCGCTTATGGTGGATTCCTTACATACACGCTAAATCACATAAAAATCAATTGCACACATAGAAAATGTGAAAACAATGACAGTTATTTCTGCAAGTGCAATCTCCTATTCATCCTAAGTGAAACCGGAGTACCATAGCTGCAGACACCTAGTAACTATTAACATGACATAGTGTGGCATTTTCAGCATTAAGCAAAGATGATATAACAGGAAATCCACTTCCGCATCAGTGCACCTCAAGATTCAAGAACCAATGTACTTAAGGATGGCCCACTACTCATTGACTTCTACAATACAAGCACATGGAATAACAGACAGCGACGCTCTTCAGGGAAACGATGATTTCCGTCCCCCTTGTTCAAGTTAATGACATCACCATTAGGAGCCTTCAGCTGCACACTGGCCAGTGACATGCGCACACAACAACCCTGAAAGGCTTCCACTGGAAGATTCTTTTGGAAAGTCCGGGCGTACACCTTCGCTGGCTGTAGAGGATGGGTCAGAAGAATGAGATGGGCGATGGGAAGGGTGAATGTGGGGGAACGGGAGGGGAGGGGAGGAGAGGGGGGGACAGGGGGGAACGGAGGAGAGGGGAGGATTTTTTAGTCAAGAGCATTGTTCAAAGCATTCTGTGACAGAAGCCGTTCTGCCTGGATTGTAGGTTTACTCGGCTCACCTCTCCAGTTGCATAAAATTGATCACCAGCAGGCGCCACGCTCGTTGCCAGCACTGCTGCCTTGCACTTGTAGTACTCCGCCTTCCCAGTCGCATCCACCTCCACCTGGTAACCGTAAGCCTTCGTTTTGCCGTCGCCAATTTCGTCAACGCTGGGCGAAACGCTGGTGGCGATATTTAAGCTCACGGGGCGGTCCCCGTTGCGCTGGGAATCCAGCAGCACCAGTTGAGAGACGATCGGGAGGCGAAAGGAGGGTAGACCGAGAGGGCCCAGCACGTCAAAATAGAAATCGCAAGAGGGCAGCACGCTGAAATCCTCGCAAACCTTAGAATTCCCCCCGAATAAGTGTCCGCCAGGAAGTTGAGAAACGAAGCTTGCTATCGTGGCAGCTTCTAGAAGGACAGCTTTGAGCTTAGCTCCTGCCGCTGCGCCGAGGGCTGCAGCCACGGGGTTGGGAAGGGGTACTACGTGCTCCAAGGCCCGACGAGACCCGCGAAGTTCTGTTAGGTTTCGACGAGGCACGACGGTTCGCGATGAAATAAATGGGCTTGCAGAAGTAGCAACGGCGGCTCCAAAGAGGCAGACGATGGAAATGAGGAGGGCACGCGGAATGGCCATGTCGGTCTGAATAAAATCCGAGGGTGCTGATTAATTCCGCTTTTTGTGAAAAGAAAGAGCTTGCGTAGGATCAGAGCGAGCGGTGCGGTTAAGTAGTGGGCGGAATCTTGGACCACGAAGGGTGTGTAGACCAGCCAGGCTGAAGCTCGAGCGCCAAGATGCGCCATGATACTTGCGGAGATCTAACTTAGATTGGATGACAATGAACGAGCTCCAGATTCACGCTGGCGTTCCTGCACACTCGGTCGAACCAAGAAGCGCCATCAAAACGTCCTAAAACTAACAGCATTGGAGGAGACTAATGACGTAGCCGGAGAATTCGTGGAGTGAGGTTGGCTTGATGCCAGGTTGACATGACAGGCAGCGGCAAGCCCAACACCGGAGCTACGGGCAAGTGATTTTTCCGTGGAACTCGATATGCCATACGCGATAGTTTCTCCATCGCGGAACCGAAACCGGTAGTGTACAGCGTCTACTTGTTTGGTACAAGTGTTCCAGTATAGGATCACTTGGACTGCCTCTGCTACAATTTATTGGATTTTGCAATTTCGAACACCTCTGGCGAAACCCGCCGTTAGCATGCGAACTGCGCCCAGCAGCGAAGTAACGGAATGCAACGAAAATCGTGAAGGAAACTCTCTGTGGGGGGTACACCGTCCCTGTTGGGAAGTGGGTGTAGTATGGTGTGGTGTGTTTTGGTGTGGTTTGGTGGGTGTCTGCTTGGGTTGGTGATTGATGAAACCACATCACGCTGCCCCGTCTGGCAATCACCAGGCATGCCACACTAATATCGAGGATAGTCTCTAGGTGATCCAAGGGTTTCTCAAACTGCTCAGCCCCTAGCGCTCGTCTACGTAATAGTGCTGAGGCCGAAGAAGTCCAATCGTCGATTCCACGCCCAGTTCCGCGTGTCGGATCCGAACGCGCTACGCGCGCCAAATATGACAATGTCGACATCTGCTCACGGAGTCGTTGTCTACTGGCCCCGCGAAACTAGTTTGTCCCATTGGCTGGGGAATCCTGGCTCGCGGCTCGACCGATGGGGTCGCGATGTTGGCAGAAGAAACCGTGCCAGATGTTCTTCAGGTTTCTGGGAAACCTCCCTGGAGGCGCAAGCGTAGGCCATGCTCCATCTTAGCCCTGCGAGCCTGCACCGACTCATCCCGCACAGCCAGCGTACGATCTGTAGCATCCACGTCTCACTGTTACATTACCCCATTCTTGCGTCAATCCTGCAAACGCCCTCCGACCTGGGTCGATTTTCCAGATTTTCTCATAAGTTCATCTTTGAGATGATAGCGGCACATTGGATGGATAAACTGTAAACTGCGGAGCCAGAAACAGGCGCTTCGAGCCGATGTCAAGCCTGGTCGCGCCAACAGCAGATGTAAACCCACCGCCCAGCACCACCTCTCCCCTTCCTCACCTCCCTCTAACGGAAAACTGCAGCAGCCAAGGCGCTTCTTCGTTCTTCGGCGGCAAACCCTAGCGAAAGCTTATATCTGTGAAACTCAGGTGTATTGCTAGCATGTCAGGGATTCCTCAGACTCGCCGAGCTTCTCATCCCCTCAGGGTCTCCCTCATCCCTTCAGTGGTGAAATCTGACTCTTTGATCCCTGCAAAGTTCATTGCTCGCAGTCGCAATGAGGCTCTTTCTTTCACTCCGTGCAGTGAACCTTGCCATAGCCGTAACGATCGTTCTACTGCTTGTGGTTCCGCACACCGTCGCTGTCAAGAGAGCACCGGCAAAAAAGGCCCCGTCGCGGGCCGACCTGCTGAATAGAGAACTCCTAACGGCGTTGAAGGACCTCGATAAGAAGAACCCTTTCTTCTCAGTCTTCGCGCAACGGTTTTATACTGCGGGTAAGTTCTTCGAATGAGGACTTTTTGCTGAGGACATGGCAGCTGTAGGACGGATACATTGAATTAGCTCAGCCAGTGTATTGTTTTCCTTTCCTTTTCCTTCTTGTTGCAGCTAGGGTCAAACTTATCTCCCTGGAGGGTCCTGCCACGATCCTTGTTCCGTCCAATGTTGGCAATCAGTTTATGAAAATGACGTGGGAGGCTTTCACTCCCCAGCAGCGGCTTCGCATAATGAAGAATCTGATTATAAAGGGGAAGTTCAGCAAGGATCGGCTGCTATCAACTGTGCCCTTGTGGCAGTTCCCCACCATGAATATGGGCCTGAAGCTGGTCAAGATGAACAGCTACTCAACAAGAGAATGCTATTTCAAAGCTGTAGGGGGATCTGCGTTTGGCCCGTTGAACATGGCGAATCTGAGCATCACTAGGAATATCCAGGTCCATGGCATCTCCACAGTCCCAATCCCAGCTAATGCCTAAAACCTTGATTGGATGGATAGAGGGCTTGGATGGGATGGCAGCTGTCACTGTTGTATGCACTGTGAATCCACTCTGATCTACGGTCAATATTTTCCGCTGCAACACTAATGACGTGAACCTTCCTGAGGTGATCCTAGGCACGAACTGACTTTGATTGCAACAGCATGTAATTGTCAGAATGAAGAATGGATGATGCATTGATGTTGGTTGGGGTACATATAGCTAACCCTAAGTTTTGTACCCCCTAAGACAAACCTCACTATAGGCTACAACATTTGACACACCCCCATAGCCTAAGTGAGGGGTGTCTAGCAGAACCAAACGAGTACGGTCACAAGACCAGTCCAAGAAACAAAGCTCAGGGTGGATCACAACGTCACCACACAGTCTGAGCACAAACAACAGTGGCCACAAGGCCAGTCCAAGAAGTAACAGAGATATATAGAAAGCAAAGTAAACAGTACACTCAAGTCTAAGCAACACGAGAACCAGTGTCAACAAGGCCTAACTGCACACAGCACCTCTGGTGGTCACAAGGCGGAAGCGCCTTGGTGAAGATGTCTGCAGTGTTGGCCTCTGACTCCACAAACTCAAAGCGAGCCTGTCCACGCCTCTGCAACTCTCGCAGAAGAAAGTACCTGACGTGAATGTGCTTCACTCTGCTCTCCAGTCGTGGCTCTCGACAAAGGAGAATAGACGCCTTGTTGTCAGTGAACAAGGTCGGTGCAGAGCTCGGCCGCTCACCAAGGTCGGTGAGCAAGAAGGTCAACCAACGCAGCTCCTGTGCCGCCATGGCACCAGCGTAGATCTCAGCCTCAGCTGTAGAGGTCGAGACCGAAGAGGAGCGTGTGGACCGCCAGGAAACAGCTCCAGAACCCAGGCTGAAACAGTACCCCTGAGTAGACCTGTGAGTCTCAGCGTCGTCAGCGTAAGAGGAGTCACAGTGACCAGTAAGTACAACAGACTGCTGCCCTCCAAGAACTAGCCCCACGCCTGATGTCGTCGCTAGGTACTTCGCCACCCTCACAGCTGCTGTCCAGTGAACAGGACGGTGTCTCCCTGGCGCAACAAAGCGCGCAAGAACGCTGAGAGGGAAGGCGAGGTCCGGGCGAGTACAAGTCATCAGGTACATGAGGCAACCCACAAGCTCTGCGTAGGGACCACTAGGCTCGAACGGCTCGTCAGGAAAGGGTCCAGTGAGTCTGTGGTCAACAGCAAGAGGTGTGCGCTGTACTGTGGAGTGCTGAAGCCCGAACCGCTGAAGGACCTGCTGCACCATGTGCGACTGTGAAAGTGTAATGGTGCGAGCAGCTCTGTCCCTGGTGATCTGCAGGCCAAGGTAGTGGCGCAGCTCACCAAGATCAGTGCAGGTGTGTCTCTTCTGCAGTTCGGACTTCACGTGTGCCAAAGCAACCCTGTCAGGGGTGGCGAAAACAAGGTCGTCAACGTAGACCAGAACAAAGAAAGGTGTGGGGCCACGACGAACGAACAGCGACGGGTCAGCAGAAGACGGCTGGAACCCAAGGTCAGACAGGGTAGAACGCAGGGTGTCGTGCCACTCACGAGGAGCCTGACGAAGACCGTAAACCGGTCGCCTCAGCCTCCACTGGGTCCCAGGAGGGAAAGAGCCAGTGAAGGCAGAGGGACGACGCAACCAGACCTCCTCGTGAAGACTGCCCTGAAGGAAAGCAGTAGAGAAGTCGAGAGAGTGTAACTCGTAGTCTCTCTGTGCTGCTACGTGTAGTAACACCCGAAGAGTGGTCATCTTCGGGGTGGGCGCGAAGGTCTGAAAGAAGTCAACTCCCTCGCGCTGACTGAAACCTCTAGCCACGTAGCGCGCCTTGAAGACCGGAGGAGATCCCGGTGGCCGCTTCACCCTGTAGATCCACATGCCGTCGACTACGTTCGCCCCCGGAGGGGGAACCTCATCGACGTAGGTGCCTGTGGATTTGTAGGAGGCCATCTCTGCGTCCATGGCAGCTCTCCACTGAGAGGCCCAAGGCCCTGACACTGCCTCAGCGTAAGTGCGAGGAGTCGGAATGTCAAGGGCGTCGGGGTCACCCTCAGGGGCGAGGAGCATGGCACAGAGATGAGGGGAAGCGGCGGCCAGGAACTCTAGCTCAAACTGCCTGTCCTCTAGGGCGTCACTGCCAAGGGCAGACACACCCCCGACGGCCAGAGGACTGGAAGGAGGAGCAGCCACAAGAGCGGTGGCGAAGTCAAGGCGGCGGGTAGAGGCAAACTCAGTGACTGCGGCAGTAAGAGCGGACACAGAGGACACAGAGGCACGAGGGTGGGTAACAAGAGAGGCGAGAACACGAGAGAGAACAGGACGGTACGTGCGGTAGTAGTCAGTGACAGGAGAAGGAAGCGACACAGTGAGGGCCGACTCAGGAGGAGACGGAAGCACAGACGGAGACGGACGAGGTGGACGAGAACAAAGGAAGGCTGTACGAAGGTCAGTGAAGGGAACAGGAGACGAGGGACGAGCACGAGGGGAGCGACGAGAGGCCCAAGTCTGAGAAGGAGGAGGAGACAACGAAGACTGAGAACGAGGGAAAACAGCGGGAGAGGGGTCAGGAGGAGGAAGCGGAGGACCAGAGACGGGAGGAGAGGGGGAGGAGGAAGGAGAGGGAGACGGGAGACCAAGGGTCCGAAGACCCGAGACAGGAGGAGGAGACGGCAGCAGCTGCTGCTGCTGCTGCTGCTGCGGCTGCTGCTGCTCCAGCGGCTGCTGCCTCTGCTGCTGCTCCTGCTGCTGTCGCTCCTGCTCCTCGAGCCGCTGCAACTCTCTCTCCTCTCTCTCCAACTCCAGCTGCTCCTCACGAGCACGGCGAACACGAGCCTGGAACCTGGTCGGGTAGGGGTGGGGGGAAGGAGTAGTGTCCGGGGCAGCGGCAGCCCCAGAGTCGACCTCCGAAGCACCAAGCACACCACCCCCAGAGGCAGCACCAACACCAGCTCCAGACCCAGGCTCTCCAGAAACCGAAGGGACACCCTCACCCCCAGACTCCGCACCAGCAACCCCAGACTCCGCACGACCAGTACCAGCCCCCGGAAGACAAGAGTCCTCTGCAACCCGCGGCTCAGCTCCAACTCCAGCACCCCCAGAACCAGAGACCTGTACAGGGACAGTCGCAGGACCAACCTCTCGAGAGGGAGCACCTGCAGGAGGCGGCGAGGAAGACTGTGGGGAGGGAGGCTGTACAGGGGGGGCTACCGAAGGGGGAGGGCTAGCCTGAGACACACCAGACGGGGCTGGACCAGGGGGGGAGGCTGTACCGGGGGAGCAGGCGGGGGAGCGGCGGTCAGGAAGAGAGGGGGGGGAGGGACCGGGAGACCTCGACTGGGGTACCTGACGTAGTAGGGGGTGGACTCCTCGAAACGGACGTCACGGGAGTCAAAGAACCGGTGAGAGGGAGGGTGGTAAAAGGTGAAGTCAGAGGAGTCCTCAGGGAAACCAAGGAAAACACAAGGAACGGCGCGAGGCGAGAGCCAAGCACCCCCAGACACGAAACCTCGACGCGACACCAGGGGACCCTGTCCAAAGACTGGTCGGTGAAGCCTCCGGCCGAGAGACGCGTGGCCAGAGGTTCAGCTGGTGCGCGGCGTACCTGACCGCGTATGGCCACAGGAAATGGGGGGCACGGGCGTGAGTCAAGGAGGTGCGGGCAATCTCCATGACCAGGCCTATGCGACGCTCAGCAACCCCATTCTGCTGTGGGGACTCCGGAAGCGTCCAGGACTGACGAATGCCCTGTTCGCGACAGAATCCAGCGAGAATGCCGGAGCGAAACTCGCCCCCGCGGTCGGAGTGGAGACAGCTGACACGACGACCACGAGTGTCCTGGGTGGTAAGCAACCACCTGATCAGCGTAGAAGTCACCTCAGACTTCCTCGCCAGGGGGAACACTGTGGTGTAGCGGGAGTAGTCGTCAACGACCACCAAAAAGAAACGCTCACGCTCAGGGCCAGGGCGAGGAGAGGGGCCCCAGACGTCCAAGTGCAGCGTCTCAAAAGGCTCGGTGGCTGGACGAAGGGAGGAGGAGTGAGGGGTGGCGCGCAGCCTACCCTCGACGCAAGGACCGCACGGTGGTGCAAGGGACGGCGGCAGCGACGGCAAGACACGCGGGAGACCTAAGACAAGACGCTGACGAGACATAGCGCGAAGACGAGGAGGAGAAGGGTGCCCCAGCCGGTGGTGCCACAAAACGGTGGGGTGGGCAAGCGACCGACAGGAGCACGACGCAGCGACCGGACTAGACGGAGGAACCTGACAAGACACAGCTACCTGGGGGGACGGAGCAACCTGGTGAGACGCGAGGACTCGAACGGGGGGCAAAACAGGGGCCGGGGGCAGGAGGGGCGGCTGTGGCTGCGGCTGCGGCTGCTGCTGCTGCTGCTGCTGCGGCTGCTGCTGCTGCTGCAGTCGCTGCTGAGGGCGCGGGCCAGTGTGAAGAGTGTAGAGACCGGAGCCCGGCTCAGCAGCAAAAGTGGCGAGGGGCTGGTAAGAGTCCCCGTCAACACACACCGCAGTCTCTCCAGAAGGCTCAAACCACACACCCACGTGCTGACTCACGAGGGGTCGCACGCCCACCAAGTTCCGGGAGAACGAGGGGACGTGAAACCCAGTGAGAGACCCAGAAGGAGCAGCCGGACACGGCAAGGTGGTAGTGTGACGCGCGGTGACTGGTCCCGAAGTGGGATCAGCCAGCGCCACAGAAACAGGCGCAGGAAGAGGCGTAAGTGTCGTGCTGTCACGAAAGAAGCAGTGAGAGGCTCCAGAGTCCAGCGTGAACGACAGCGAACCGTCCTCTGAGGTAGCCGCTGGACTAGAGTCTACACAAGAACCTACACTAGCAACAGGCAACTGAGCAAGGCTAGCACCTAAGCTAACAACACCAGAGTAAGCAGAGTCAGAAACACTAGAGTCAACAACAGCATACATAGCATGGGGAGTACCAATCAGATCAACTAACTGCTCAGCAGACATGCCCCAC